AGGTTTTGCCTTGAGGACTCTGCCTTCCTGCATATGTCTCTCCTGGACTGGCTCTGGAGGAACTCAGCCATCAGCACCAGTGTGGAGGGAAGGAACTCTGCCAACTCAGAGGGCCTAGAGGGATTTGCCCCAGAGCAGTTCCTTCTTGTGGCTGCCTCATTTCTTCTGGCAAGAAGAGTCAAGTGCTGGGGGTCAGACCTCCCTGGCAGGTTCTCTGCAGGGCATGGGCCTGACTTTGGGGTTCCCTAGCTTTAGCGTTGATCCCCTGGGGGAGGAAATGGCAGCCTACTCCAGCATTCTTGCCTGGAAAATCCCATGGACAGAAGAGCCTGCTGGGCTACAGTCCATGGGTTCACAGTCAGACACGACTGAGTGTGCGCGTGCGCGCGCACGTGTGCACACACACACACACACAGCTTGAGCCTCATTTCCTCACAACATCCAGAGACAGATTATTACACCAGATGCTAAGTCTGGCAGCTACCTCCCTTGAGAGACTAAGAACCTGGGATAGAAAGGGGACATTTATGTATTTTTGGATTAATAAATATTAAAAACAGACTCAGTCATTGTTTTTCAGTACCAGTTGCTCCCATGCTGTTTACTGGACCATATTTCTCCTGCCAGCTAGCCCTCTTTACCCCAGCACCTGCCCTCCTGCTCTGGGGCTGTTGACAGCCTGCCTTCCAGGCTGGTGAGTCAGCGGGGCCTTCACAAGCACTCAGCTGGCTGGCTTTGCTTTCCAGGAGGAAGCCGGCTGAAGCAAGGGTGTGGACTTTTAAATATGTGCAGAGTCTAAGATCCTGTCCAAATAAATTTTCCCATAAGAAATGGTGAAAAAGGGCTGGATCTCAACCAAGGACCATTAATACCTGTTATCCTCATGTATATTCATTCATATGCTACTAAATATATTAGGACAATGCATACAAATTGGGAGGTCACTGTTTGAATCTGGCTTATAGATGTAATTTTCTGACCTGAACAATTTTGCTGTTATCTTTTTATTATGGAATATTTTTAACATCTGTGAAAGTAGGGAGAATGGTATAAAATTCCCACTAGTAGCTTCAATAATTATCAATTCATAGTCTTTCTCATCTAAATTCTCAACACTACAGTGGATAAGCTTGTGCATATTTATGTCTTTTTATTACTTTTGCCAGTGTACCTTTAGGATGGATCCACAGAAATGGGATTTCCGGGCCAAAGGATAAAAATGTGTCTAATGTTAGATATTGGCAGAATCCAGATAAATCTCTGAGTGTAGCTGTTTCCCCACAATCTCAACAGGTTATAATGTCAATTTTTTGGATTTTTGCCAATCTGATAGGTGAGAAATAGTAACTCTACCATCTCTCATTATGAACAAGAATGAGCATCTCCATATGGTTAAGTGGCCTGTGCAGATTTTAGTGCTTTAAAAAAAAAATCTTAAAATAGTTTTAGATTTACAGGAAGTAGCTAATAGAGTGCCTATATAACCCACACCCAGTTTCCCTGTTAACATCTTACACTATACCTCACATTGCTATGGAACATTTGTCACAACTAATGAAACAAAATGCACACATCATTATTATCTAAATTCCACTCTTTATTCAGATTTCATTAGTTTTTAATCTCATACTTTTTCTGTTCTAGCACCCTATCCAAATGATCACATTACATTTAATGATCGTGTCTCCCCAGCCATCACTGATTTAACTGTTTCTCAGACTTCCCTGGTTTTTGATGACTTGGATGGCTTGGAGGGTACATTTTAGAATGTCTCTCAGTTTGGATTTATCTGATGTCTCTCATGGTTTTTTGCAAGGAAGACACAGAGATGAAGTGCCATTCTCACCAGAATAGATGAAATAATGAAGTAGGTGACCATCCCTGGACTGACTTCTCCAATACTGCAGTGGTTGCTAAGGATCCTCCTTTGGCTTCTACTTGCATTTTGATTTCTTAAATAAAACAAAACTGAAAACAAAAAACAAAAACCCCCAGCATACCTGGCCATCATTTCCTATACGGTAACTGTGTTGTAGTAGCCAGTGGCGGATGGAACACTAGCCGCTCTACTCCCGCCCCCTCCCCGCTCTGCTGGCCCCACAACAGCAGATACTGAGTATCATTAAGTTCCAGGGTTTAAGCCAGGACAACACGATGCCATTCACTGCTCCCTAGCTACTAGGCTCCAGTTCCACTCGGTAGTGGCCTTTGCCCTGGTGGCCTCTGCTAGCGTGAAGGTTGGAATCCACAGAATACTGATGCTTATGATCCGGAGGTGGGGGGGGCTGCGGGGCGGGGAATACACCTCTTTAGCATCCAGCAGTTTCCCTCAATTCTTCAAGGCTTCTCCTCCCCAAGTTCATCCTTGTATCCAATATAATACTCCCTTTTAATTCAAGACTCCTTCCTTTTATTCAGCTTTTCACTAGCCTGAAGAACTTCTCAGCCTTTGTCCACATGGAGAGAATATTGATAGCTTTCCCCCATTTTTGTCAGCGGAGTGTTCTCACAAGGCAACCTTCTCACTTGCTAGTAACACATCTGACCAAAATTTAGCATACCTTGTTGCAAAATCTTGGATATTTAACTTCTCTGGATTTTGGCTTTCATCCTTGTAAAACAACTTATTACCAGGGCTACACAAGGTGCACACATACTTTGCATTCATGAGGTGTGGATGCCATCCAAAAGATACCATCTTATTTACAATACGCTCTCAAGTTATTGATCTTTATAGAACAGATACATAAAAATTACAAGTTACATCTCCTTAGTAAAATCTTGCTGGGAATAGGCCCAATGGGTGATTTGTGTTTCACACAATTATGACTAAAATCTCTTGGCTAAGTCAGTCATGGAAATAAGGGAACAGCTCCATGGGAACTTTATGACAGATTAATTGAGGTATAAGATTCATTCTACTTCCACTAGACAATGTCAAGCAGGGAGACAATATTATATTAGGATACCTGATCCCAAACAGTTCCCTTTTAAACTGAAATATAGCTGGGTATCCTTGCTATGACAAAAGTTGTTAGCAAGACTATCTGTATGAAGTAGTCTAAAGCAATCTGACACTGAAGACTCAGCAGTGAGAACAATTAACAAGAGTTCTGGTTTTCAATACTGTAGCTGTGGAGATGTTCCTGATATATACTAGGATATATATTCCAAAGGCTATTTTTTGGTGGCTGGAGTTGTATTAAGCTTTCCATATTTTCCAGTCCCAGATACAACTTTGTGATAAAAGCCAAATTCCTTAAACAGACCAAAGTCAATGGGTCATTGTAAGGACCTAAGGCTGAATTAGGCTTCAAAATTTCCAGAAAATGAGCAGGATGGCTAAGGTAATGTGCTGATCCCCAGAATTTGATCATCTTATTTCAAATACCGTTCCATGCTCAAGTTTTTTTCTCCACTTATAATACTGACTCCTTAGAGAATAAAACTCAGAGCTGATATCATGCATAGAGGTTTGTTTCAAGGACTCCAAATGCTAGATGCAACTTTGTGGTCAAGGTTATTAGCTCTAAGCCCAATTACTATAACATGCTGTATGATATCATTTACATAAAGCTCAGGAAAATGCAAACTAATCCACAATGACAGGAGAGCAGTGGCTACTTGAGTGCAGGGGAGGATGGGAAGAGGCATGAAGAAACTTTTGGGAAAGAACTTATGTTCATTGTCTTTCTGGCTTCATGTGTGTCAGTTCAGTTCAGTCGCTCAGTCGTGTCCAACTCTTTGCAACCCCATGAACTGCAGCACGCCAGGCCTCCCTGTCCATCACCAACTCCCAGAGTCCACCCAAATACATGTCCATTGTGTCGGTGATGCCATCCAACCATCTCATCCTCTGTCATCCCCTTGTCCTCCTGCCCTCAATCTCTCCCAGCATCAGGGTCTTTTCCAATGAGTCGGCTCTTGGCATCCACAAAGTTGAAATTATCCACTGAAAATATCCTAAGTCTTCATCTGTTCTGTTTTTAGAGGTTTTACTGAGTTTCTTTGCAAGGGCGGCTCTCTCACATGTTTGATAAAGAAGGGGGAGGTGGGGAGGAGAGGTTTCAGGGTTTCTCCTGAAAGAAACCCTTGTCGGAGCATCAAATCCCCGAGAGAACGCAACCCTCAGAGGCCTATCGTGCACAGAACTTCTGTTACCTTATTAAGTCAAACAAGTTAGAAGCCATATGTCTCCTCAAAAATGAAACATATTTGTTTACAAACGTACCCCGTAAGTGACAAGACGTATAGAAAATAAATACAACACCCTCTGAATTTAAAAACTAGTTCTTCTTCTTGACTAAGTTAGCCAGTGAAATAGGTTAAGGTAAAATTGGCCTAAACTGAAAAACAATATCAAATNTTTTCCAAATTTGCTGGCATATTGAGTGCAGCACTTTCACAGCATCATTTTTTAGAATTTGAAATAGCTCAACTGGAATTCCATCACCTCCACTAGCTTTGTTCGTAGTGATGCTTCCCAAGGCCCACCTGACTTCACATTCCAGGATGTCTGGCTCTAGGTTGAGTGTGAGTGATCACACTTTCTTCATTATCTGGGGTCCCCTATGTCAAAGCTTACCAACTGTATACCTTAAACACGTGCAGCTTATTTTATGTCAATGACACTTCATTACAGGGCTTTAAGATTGACTATTCAGTAGTTAGGAAACAATCTACTTGGATGGCCACTGCAAGTGGCCATTTTGTTTAACTACATTTTAACATCACAAGTGACCCCTTCTCCTACCCACTGAGGCCGTAAGGGAGGACAGAATGTAGCAGGAGTTTTAGGGTAAGCTGGAAGAATGAAAGACGCAGAGCGAGCCGCTCCCCTGAAATATGAAGGGTCTGGGCAGTGGACGGGGCCTGGCTTTCAATCTCCCTCCATACCCAGACATCTATTAGAGAACAACTAAGACTATTCACTCAGGCAGTCACCGGCTGTACCATCTCAGATTTATGAGGCAGTGAAAGGAAGAAAAAACAAACACTGATTAAATTTTAAAAATTTATTGTTGTTTTTTTCCTTTTGTTGCTGTTGATTTGTTCTTGAGGTGGCGACACCAGCAGACAGAACATGTCCTCGTGCCTAGCGCCTGTCAGGGCCACGATTCCTGTAAAGCATCAGGGCTTGCCTCAGCTTTCCTCTCCTGCCTCACCCCCATCAAGTCAACAATTTTCACATCTTTTAGTAATATGGTTAGCCCTGTAAACACATTTGTCCATTCTCCCACCTTCTGTTCTCCTCTCTCAAGTCTATGGGTAAAAAATTAACTGAAAAGGAAAAAAAACTTAAAAAGTATTTGTATTCCGCTCACCCTGATTTTGGCTCTTCTCTCCAAAGATGACAACCCAAGGTAGATTGGAAGTGGACTTAAAGAGACTGAATAGGGTCAGAGTTGGGGTAAACATGAATTTTGGCCCTGGCAGGTCCTAATATCATTGATATGACCATGATAAAAAGCAGAACAGGTTCCTTGCTTACTTCTCCTTATGTGAACAACTCTAAAGGTGAGAATAAACAGTTGGGACCAGACATGAGTTGGGACACGAGGAGACTCACTTTCATTAAAAGAGGAAAGGGAAAGGAAAAGAAGCGAGGGAGGAGAGAAGGAAAGGACAAAAGAAAAACTTAAGAGAAGATCCTGACCCTTTCCTTCTAATTGCAGTTGTTTAATTCATTTGAATTCCCATCTTCCCTAAGTAAATGTTTTTGTTTCACAGAAAGTTTTGTAATTTTATTTTTCTGTGTGCACACATGCATGCTAGCATGTGTAGGTGTAGATGCATGTATGTATGTGTGCAGTCATTTGCTACCAGGAGAATGTTTCAATTGTAGTTTCAGTTTAGTTTTCCTTTTTTTTTTTTTCTTTTTTATTTCCTTAAAATTATTTTTCCTTTTAGAAACAAGTTCACCAGGAAACCAGCTCCCCTCCCACCACGCCGGACAGGCCACAGCCATCTCTCTAAACAGCGCTGATTCTCCCTCACATCCCCAAACAGGAACTCCTCAGGGTGGCCTTGAAGGCTGGAGTCTTTCCCTGTCTGGCGGGATGCCCTGGTGGCGGTGAAGGCCCCTCTGCCACAATGGAGGTTTCTGATTGTGGGACACAGTCTGGTTTTTGTTTTCTTCCTGTCTTCTAATTAAAAAAGACATTCCTGACAAAAAAGAGAGAAGACAGTCAATTAACTGTGGTCCAGGAGATGGCAAGCACTTCATAAAGTCAACCACAAGGCAGAAGTTTCTATACATGCTCCAGTACCTCACTCTGCCCTCTGATGTAAGAACTTCAGTTTAAAAACAAAGGAAAAGAAGTAGTTGGATTTTTTACCTTGTGATTTTTAAGGAGCTACTGGTTTAATGAAATACTGTCTGTGGTTCTTTTCCAATTCTGAGTGTGCTCAGGGGTAATATGTAGGGGTAAAGAGTAAGCCAGCAGATTCAGGCTGCCGACTCCAAAACCAAACCTGGCAACTCCATTTAAGTCTGCTTAAATACTGGGGTTTCATGCAAGATTTTAGTTTGAAAGAAGGCTCTGCCTACTAAAAAAAGGTTTAAAAACCATTGATCTAGACTTTATGTAAAGGGTACTATGTAAAAGCACTAAGTAGAGTGGGTAAAGATGACGATTCTGACACCAGAAAAGTGAACTATGGCTCTATCAAGTACTGACTGTGACATCAAGCAAATTACTTAATGTCTTCGAACCTCATTTACAAATTTCCTCATTTGTATAATGGAAATAATAATAGTAACTAATCCAGAGGACTGTGTGAGGACTATCTTACAGTTAGTACATAATATGCTTTGTACATGATACAAAGTACTTAGGATAGTACCAGACATGCAATCAGGGCTCCATAAATGTCAGCTATGAACATCCACAGCTATGCACAAATAACCCTATGTGCATCAATATTAGCTATTCAGACACTGCAAAACCTGAGGATTCCAAACGATATTACTAATTAAAAACCAAAGTTTAGAACAATTTCTGCTATGGGAAGGCACCGATGAACAGCATCTTCACCAATGAGAGGGCTGCACATTCATCAAGAATTACCTCCAAGGAGGATAAGACATCGAAGAGTGGGCTTACAGGAGAGCTGCCTTTCTTCTCTCAGTCAAGAAACAGGCACCCAGATCCCACTACTCAGTCTTTCCCTCCCTCAGCTAAGCTTCTCTGCTTTACTTCAGAATCAGGAAGTACACGGAGAAAACTGATGATGATCAGGGGCTAGACAAAGAGGCTAGCTCCTTTCCTCTAACTCCTGCCTCAGTAAAAAATCTGGCATTTCAGTGTTAAAATTATAAAAAATGGTAAGAACAAGCCTCTTTGCTCCTTAAATCTGAAAGATGAGTTTTAGGAGGGCAGTGCCAAGTATCATGGATTTAGGCCAGCACTGTTTTCACCAAAATAGCCAGGTTGAAAAATACTCTCATCTGTCACCACACATACTTACCATTCTGGAAGTATCTGTAAGAAGAGGAAGGGAGGAATTTTTTAAAAAAGATATTCTGCAATAGTAACTTTCTTATGGGGGTGAATGGCATCCAAAATTCCAGCTATAGTACTAGTCCCATGATGGGCATTAAAACCTGTGCCCACCCTCAAGTACTCCTGACAGCCAGGGAGAAGGCTGAGAACTATATACCACTCACCTGGGTGACAGGCACGGTACAGGAGTGTGAGCTATCGAAACAACCTGGTGAAGTCTCGCAAGGCCCAGCAAACTTGTTTACATTCCTCAGCACTAGAAAACAAAAGAAAGGTAGGTTGGTCCCTGCCTGATAAGAAAAGTATAATAGACTGAAAAGCAACCACAACTTTGAGGGACCCTGAGAACTGTCCCAGCTCTGCTCTCTCCATCATCTCTTGACCCTACTTTCAATCTTTCTGTAACTCAGGGGTAAATATTAACTAATGTATATGGGAATAATTATAAGTTATGTGGCCCTTAAAGAGTGGGCTTTGGAGAAAAAATTGCTTAGGTCTAAATTTTGGTTTCATTGTGTCTTTGAGCAAGTTACCAATCTGCCTCAGTTTCCTCATCCATTATCTATGCCAAGATGTTCTGAGGATTAAAACAGTTCCTGTATGTAAAGTGCTTAGGATAACGGAATGGCGAACAAAACAGCATATGACAAATATAGGCTGCTACAACAATAAAACTTGGTTGTGGGACTTCCCTGGTGGTCCAGTGGTAGACTTTTGCAATTCCACTATAGGGGGCAAAGTTTCGATCCCTGATCAGGGAACTAAGATCCCATATGCTGTGTGGCCAAATAACAGTAACAATACTTGGTTAAAGTCCTTGATAAATCTAAGCAAAGTCAGAACCCTCAAAGTAAAAAAGCAAGCATATTCACCTAAGGTGGATCATTTTAACTCTATGAACTGAGCTAACTTAGGTACCCTGGTTTCCTCATTCTTTTCCAAAAGCAGATTTTGTTTTAAAGCCCAGTTCAGCAAGTAACTCTCAGTCTAGTTGAACAGGCTGCTCAAGATTTCCCGCTGTGGGAGGAGAAGGGAGAGGAGAGAGGAAAGGGTTAAGGCATGAAGAAAGGGAGGAGGAGGAAGCTGCTCTTGGTCCTCAAACAAGCACAGAGATGCCTAGGTGGTATGAATAGCCCAATATTCATTTGACCCTGTTTTTTCAAAAGGCTTCCTTTGTCTTAAGACTGTCACCAAAACACCAGTTGATGCTAGCTGCATTCTTTTCTGCCAGTCTTCGTAATAGTTTTTGGTAACTGAACATGAGGCTCAGCTAAAATAGTGGAAAACAAAGCACATTCAATTAATAATATGCTCACCCTTATGTGGCCCTCTCTTTGGTGATGAAAAAATCAGGGACCACAGCCTATAACCTAGGATTCAATGTCAGAAGAAAGCACTCTCCTTCTTGTAATGGTTAAATGTCAGAGCGGGAATCACTAACCGTGATCCAGCATAAAAGAAGGTAATGAGAGCTTTCACCTTAAGTGCCTACATCTGGATTCCCCAGCTATTTCTTCTAGGTGAGTGAACCCCTATCACGCATGCTTCTGAAAGTCATGAAGGAGCAAGACATGTAACTCTAGAAAAGTTACTGTTGTGGTGTATTACTGAGGTTATAAGGGACTAAGACAACAGGGAAGAGATAAACTTAGGATAATGTTAGAGACTCCAAATCTTTTGTGATCCTAAAGCCTTAGATGTTCTTCAATTCTACACTTCTTCAACCAGAGATCATGGTTAACTATGGAAAAGAAATGACAACTTCTTAGCCTCTTTCACGACACAAGGAAAAGTACTAAAACCCAAATACAAGTACAGGAGAACTGTGGTGGGACAGGGTGAAATGAGGCATGGTTACAGCCTCGCAAATCAGCTCGACTTCTGCCCCCAATCCTGTCAGCAACCACTCTGCTGTCAAGAGTTTAGTCAATGTTTAACTTAAGTGTCCTTGGTGATTAAGTCCAAAGAAATGGATTTAAAATAAATAAATAAAAACTTCTTTAAAAACTAAAACTATTTTCTGTTTTCTGCCTCACTCCTCCTGGCATTTAATATTTTGGGATTGCTTTAATTTACACTTATTTATTTATATTTATGCATTCAAAATTGCCATTATTTTTGTAGAATTTTCTGGCTTCTAGTCCCACCATTCTAATCCTTCTTATCCTTTATTTATTTATTTTTAAATGATCAAAGTAGAGTTGATTGAAAATGTGGTGTAATTTATCCCTCCCTCAACCCTTTCCCCTTTGGTAATCATAAGTTTGTTTTCTGTATCTGTCTGTTGCTGTTTTGTAAATATGTTCACTTGTGTCATATTTTAGATTCCTCATGTAAGTAAGATCATAAGGTTATTTGTCTTTCTCTTTCTGACTTTCTTTACTTAGTATGATAATCTCTAGCTCCTTCTATGTTGCTGCAAATGGCATTATTTCATTCCTTTTTATGGCTGAGTAAGAACTTCACTGTGTATATATGCCACATCTTCATCCACTCATCTGTTGACAGACATTTAGAGGTTGCTTCCGTGACCTGGCTACTGTAAACAGAGTTACTATGAACACTGGGGTGCATGTATCTCTTCAATTATAGTTTTCTCCAGATACATGCCCAGGAGACTTTCACTGTACCCTGGAGTAATTTCATGGTCACTATTCCTCAAGCCCCATAATCCCAGTAGTGTGCTGAGAAATGTAGCCCTTTTCATCTGATCTGCATAATGGAAAGTAATCAAGCTCTAACTACTGACTTCAGCAAGAAGACACCCCCATACTGGCCTATTCTAGTGTCAGGGCTTCGTATTCCTGTCTTCTGACCTTGAGATCCTCATGCAAGTGACACTCACAGATTAAGTACCAAGACAAGAGAAATGGGAAATGACGGCAAAATTTCTTCTGGACATGCTTAGTGGTATCTGGAAAGCAAAAATGATATTTTAGAATGAAAAACTCCAGTTTTCTTCAAGTTGGCCACTAAAAATGCCAGGGAATTAATTACCAGTACCATATGAGAAACAGGCTTGGACTTGCTGAAATGAAACTGAACCAGTTTACCCTCCCTGCTAGGATGGCAAACAAAGCAGCATGTTGAGGCAGGAGTAACAGGACCTTAAAACCAAAAGGGAGACTGAGTCATGTGTGGAACAGAAGGTTCAAGGGCATACACACATTAGAGAATGAGAATTACTAAGAGGAGGTGAGCAATTTCAAATCCTTTCTCTAGAACCTCAGTATTTCCTCTTACTTCTGTTCATTTCCCACCATATGTCACAGCCTACTAAAGGAGGAGCTGTAAAACTTGCTTAGCAGTAAGAAATCAAGCAGGCCAGATTGATAATGTATCTTATTTTCTTGCATTAAAGGACAAAGATCACAGATATTTTTGTTTAAAGCAATGCATTATTTGGGTTCATTTTCCTTGCCTCAAGATTTTCCTTACATTATGGAATGTCCATGACTTTTATTTCAGACTTATGCTGTATTTCTACCATCATGTATTAGCCTGGATGAGGAAATATGAACTTGGTAGAGACTTATTCCATGTGTGGGTGGCTGCCTTAGAGCTGAGGGAGACATGCTCTAGCTAGTTTTGCAAGTACATAATGACATTCTGGCAGGCTCTTTTCCAAGGAGAAAATTAACAATCACCGATCACCTACTATGTGCCAGATCATCTTTAAATTTCCACTTGGTATTTCACCATAATCCTATGAGCGAGGTATCACTAACCCTATTTTACAGATAAAAAATCTGCTGCAAAGTAACAGTAAGTGGCAAGATTCAAACCAACAGCCTTGACTTTAAGCCCAGTCCTCCTTTGAGGGTTCTCCCCATGCTCTCATTTGCCCTAATCTACGGCCAATATGATCCTGTCCTTCTAAAGAACACTGGATAAAACAGAGAAAAACAGAAGCAAAGAGAAACAACTGTTATTCTTCTTTCCCCTGAGACACCTTGTAGGTAGAATACTACTTCTACTGGGAAGATTCACAGTTAAAAAAAAAAAAAAGAGAGAGTTTTTTAAAGGTCATCCCAATTAATATATGACTACCTACTAGAAAGGAAATCTCCTCCTTTGGCAAAATATGTCATGAAGGCAGTCACATGCTATTTTTAAGTCATGCATGTCACTTGATCTGTGGCCCAAAGTCGGTTATTTCTGCAGCATGATGTTAGGTCACTTTGTAAACTACAAAAAAGTAATACTCAAAGATTAGGGATTTTAACACTAATAAAATTATTGGAGACTCTGGGGAATGAAAAAGTAATCTATTTTCGAGAGTAGCAAGAAATCAATTCTCGGAAAAAAAGATTAACATTTAATTTTATCTCCTTCTAAAAAACTAGGTCTGGTTTTCATTGTAAAAGTATATATACCATGCTCATGAAAAAAAAACAAAAACAAATAGCACAGGTTAGGAAAGTCCTATGTACATCTTTCCATAAATTTACTACTTATTATTTGTAATAAAGTAGCCTCTGTGTGTATGTGTGTGTATTAGAATAGCTTTTAAAAGTGCAAGTTGGTTCATTTACAACAGCATGAAAAAAAGTAAAATAAACTATAAAATGTGACTGAAAGAAATTAAAGACACCAATAAATGGAAAGACATCTTATGTTCACAGATTAGAAAACCTAACATTGTTAAGGTGTCAATGCTATAATAAAGTGATCAACAGATACAATGCAATCCCAGTCAAAAATCCCAATGACATTTTTTTGTGGAAATAGAAAAACCTATCATAAAATTCATATGAACACAGTTCCCCCTTACTGTGCTGGTATTCCTGGTGGCCAGGCAGGTTCCCTCAGCAATGTGTATACTGCTTCTTTGGCCTTTATTGTCTACTCAGTACTATAAATTTCCTGTTTTGAGTTTTGTAACTTTGTAGTATTTTAGATAATGTCATGTTTGTACTACTTTGTTGTGTACAGTAAAAGGATTATGTTGAATAAACCTAGGATTAGAGTGCAAAAAAAGAAATCATGTAAAATCTCAAGAGACTCCAAATAGTCAAAAAACTCTTGGAAAAAAACAAAGTTGAAGGTCTCCCAATTTCAAAACTTATTACAAAGCTATAATAATCAAAACAGTATGGGACTGAAATAAAGACAACCACTGGGATAGAATAAAGAGTCTAGAAATAAATCCCTTACATATAAATGATTTTCAATAAGGGTACCAAGACCATTCAATGAAAAATGGACAGTGCAGGGAAAACTGCAAAAGAATGAAGTCAGACCCTTAACATACATCACATACAAAAATTATCTCAAAATGAATCAAAGACCTAAGTGTAAATCCCAAAACTATAAAACTCTCAGAAGAAAATATTGGGGAAAAGCTTCATGACATTATATTTGGTAATGATTTCTTGCATGTAACACCAAAAGCACAGGCAACAAAAATAAAACAGATACGGAGAAATTAGAACCTGTGCACCATTGATGGGAATGCAAAATGGTATAGCTGCTATGGAAAACAGTATGGCAGTTATGCAAAAAAAAAATTAAACACAGAACTGCCATATGATCCAGCAATTCCACTTCTGGGTATATGTCCAAAAGAACTGAAAGTGGGGTCTTGAAGTGATATTTATACACTCATGTTTATAGCAGAATCATTCACAATAGCCAAGAGGCAGAATCAACCAAACATCCATCAAAGGATGAACAGATGAATAAGATACAATATATACATACAATGGAATGTTATTCAGCCTTTAAAAAGGAAGGAAATTCTGATTCCTGCTACAATGCTGGATGAATCTTAAGGACATTATGCTAAGTCAATCACAAAAGGACAAAAACTATGATTTCACTTTATGAGTAGTTAAACTTAGACAGTAGACCAATGATTATTAGGGCCTATAGGAAGGGGGAAGGGGAGTTGTTTAATAAGTACTTTCAGCTTTGCAAGATAAAAAAAGTTTTGGGTTAATTTCGCAACAGTGTGAATGCAATACTACTACTGAATAATACACTTAAAAATGGTTTAAAAAAATAGTTAGGACAGCAAATTTTGTTTGTATTTTATCAAAATTTTAAATAAAAAAAATCTTAATCTTAATCAAACTGGATTATACGATAAGTTTTTTTCCCCCTTTATATCTTATATATTTTTCTGTATCATCACATGTATTTTTTTCCTTCTTCTTTTCCACTATTACCAACCTCACTGTAATAACTCATTTTTGGACCTAAAATCATTACACAACTATATGAATATAAGCAACTGCCTAAAAAAATTTAGTCAAAATTCAATCCAGTTACAAAATCCAATTTAAGATGCTGTTGTTAATACTATCAAGAACCATAAAAATCACATAATTTTGAGTCAGTGATTGTTTCTTAAGGCAAACAGTCAAAAGAAGCTAAGGGCTAGACATTCAATATTACTCATAATACTAAAAAAAGAAAATTAATAGAGGCACTATAAGGAAATCACTCCATAATATTTTACAACCACTGCTTCACCTAGTCAGACACCTGCATTCTTGATCCTTGAATATGGATAAGAACTGGGAAGGACTTTAAAAAGATACAGATTTCCTGAAGGATAGTGAGCTGTTCAAGGCACTGTTGTTCTGTTGGAAGACATAATGCTTCCACTTATCTATTAGGATATGTTTGATACATATGAACAATAAAACAGGCACACATGTACAGCATGGTGATATTTTCCCCCAGATTGGTTTCCAACACCAATTTGTGCAATTCAAGAGTTAAGAAGACACAAAATTTTAATTTATAAAGGTATACACACAAAAATATTCCTGGGTATATTTGTAACTAAGAGATGTAAGAAACAAAGATATTCTTTCTACATATGCCAGCTGCTGTTTATCACTCACCTAGTGACTTGTTTGTGGAAATCTGTAAGTTGTTTGTGTGTCACTGTGACGGCTCCCCCTGTTGTCTCCTTTGGCAAACCTTTCAAAGAATTCTCTAACCATCGACAAAAAGTCTGTACAGGGAAGAAGGATAAGCATTTTAAAAGGAGGCAGGGCTTACTCAATTGAGACCCTACAGGTAATAACAAAACCCCACAAGTTTTCCTCAGTAGCATTAGTGCTCCAGACTTGCAAGTAAATAAAGGAGTTAACAGAAGTACTATTTTTGGCCTTCCAACCTACTGAGGGTTGGAACAGCCTATAAAGGCATGCCCAGACTCCCTTCAAGGGGGTAGCAGACATCATTTCAGATGAAGTCCTTCTACCTTGGAAGTAAAGTCGCTTCTGTATGAAGTTATTATTCTGTTTCTATCATTAAACTTATGCAATATTTAAAAAATTAGACTGCTGCCAAAAATCTCTTGAGCTTAGAGATCAAGGGCAACCCAAAGCAAAAGTTCACGTACTAAAAAGAGCAGGGTCAAAAAGTATAACAAGTAAACATTTTAAAAAGTGTATATACAAATATGAATCCAGAATCTTAAGGATTTTAAGGTCATTTCTCTCAGTAGAAGTCACATCCAGTCAGTTCCTTTGTGATAACTACCTAGTCTTTGGGTTAAGAAAATTCTTTCTTGTTGCTCTTTTTGTTTTCTTTTTTGGCTCTAATTTTTCTTCATGTCTTTAAGTAAGATGTATGCTTTGGTTATAGTTTTTAGCTGTAGAAGAACTTTTTTATACCTAAATTTTTTACAGTATGTGTTTTTCCACTATGTTAATTTAGGATCACAATGGGGTTTCCTAGGTAGCATGGATTATACGATAAGTTTTTTTCCCCCTTTATATCTTATATATTTTTCTGTATCATCACATGTATTTTTTTCCTTCTTCTTTTCCACTATTACCAACCTCACTGTAATAACTCATTTTTGGACCTAAAATCATTACACAACTATATGAATATAAGCAACTGCCTAAAAAAATTTAGTCAAAATTCAATCCAGTTACAAAATCCAATTTAAGTTGCTGTTGTTAATACTATCAAGAACCATAAAAATCACATAATTTTGAGTCAGTGATTGTTTCTTAAGGCAAACAGTCAAAAGAAGCTAAGGGCTAGACATTCAATATTACTCATAATACTAAAAAAAGAAAATTAATAGAGGCACTATAAGGAAATCACTCCATAATATTTTACAACCACTGCTTCACCTAGTCAGACACCTGCATTCTTGATCCTTGAATATGGATAAGAACTGGGAAGGACTTTAAAAAGATACAGATTTCCTGAAGGATAGTGAGCTGTTCAAGGCACTGTTGTTCTGTTGGAAGACATAATGCTTCCACTTATCTATTAGGATATGTTTGATACATATGAACAATAAAACAGGCACACATGTACAGCATGGTGATATTTTCCCCCAGATTGGTTTCCAACACCAATTTGTGCAATTCAAGAGTTAAGAAGACACAAAATTTTAATTTATAAAGGTATACACACAAAAATATTCCTGGGTATATTTGTAACTAAGAGATGTAAGAAACAAAGATATTCTTTCTACATATGCCAGCTGCTGTTTATCACTCACCTAGTGACTTGTTTGTGGAAATCTGTAAGTTGTTTGTGTGTCACTGTGACGGCTCCCCCTGTTGTCTCCTTTGGCAAACCTTTCAAAGAATTCTCTAACCATCGACAAAAAGTCTGTACAGAGAAGAAGGATAAGCATTTTAAAAGGAGGCAGGGCTTACTCAATTGAGACCCTACAGGTAATAACAAAACCCCACAAGTTTTCCTCAGTAGCATTAGTGCTCCAGACTTGCAAGTAAATAAAGGAGTTAACAGAAGTACTATTTTTGGCCTTCCAACCTACTGAGGGTTGGAACAGCCTATAAAGGCATGCCCAGAACTCCCTTCAAGGGGGTAGCAGACATCATTTCAGATGAAGTCCTTCTACCTTGGAAGTAAAGTCGCTTCTGTATGAAGTTATTATTCTGTTTCTATCATTAAACTTATGCAATATTTAAAAAATTAGACTGCTGCCAAAAATCTCTTGAGCTTAGAGATCAAGGGCAACCCAAAGCAAAAGTTCACGTACTAAAAAAAGCAGGGTCAAAAAGTATAACAAGTAAACATTTTAAAAAGTGTATATACAAATATGAATCCAGAATCTTAAGGATTTTAAGGTCATTTCTCTCAGTAGAAGTCACATCCAGTCAGTTCCTTTGTGATAACTACCTAGTCTTTGGGTTAAGAAAATTCTTTCTTGTTGCTCTTTTTGTTTTCTTTTTTGGCTCTAATTTTTCTTCATGTCTTTAAGTAAGATGTATGCTTTGGTTATAGTTTTTAGCTGTAGAAGAACTTTTTTATACCTAAATTTTTTACAGTATGTGTTTTTCCACTATGTTAATTTAGGATCACAATGGGGTTTCCTAGGTAGCACAGTGGACAAGAATCTGCCTGCCAATGCAGGAGACACAGAGATGTGGGTTTGAGCCCTTGCGTCAGGAAGACCCCCTGGAGAAGGAAATAGCAACCCACTCTAGTATTCTTGCCTGGAAAATCCCATGGACACAGGCACCTGTGGGTTACAGTCCATAGAGTTGCAGAGTCGGATACAGGCTAAGTGACTAAGCACATGATCACAACAGACTAGACCAAAAGTAATATTCCACTATAAATGCTTAAAAGTACCACAGAATTCTCCAAGTGTTGCCTCCAAGGAAGACGACACACCACTCAGACAGAAACAAGCAGAGGCAAACAGGAAGAATGAACTCTTAATTGACAACATTTTGGCATCCAAAATGACCCATAAGTTAACCACAGTATCCCCCGAAAAAAAAAAAAAAAACAGTAAGAAACTAAATTGCATACTGTCAACTAATATAGGACAAAGGAGATGAGAATATCCAATGTAGGAAAGACAGCCTTTTCAATAAACAATGCTGGGATAGTTGAATATTTGCATGTAAAACAAAGAAACTAGACTCTTACCTTTCACCACTCACAAAAAGTAACAAAACAGGTTAAAGACTAAATACAGACCTGAAATCATGAAACTCCTTAAAGAATATAAAGGCCTAAAGTACTGTGACATAGGTCTTGGTAATGATTTTTTGGCAATGACACCTAAAGCACAAGTAGCAAAATAAACACAGGAAACTACATCAAACTTAAAAGCTTCTGCACAGAAACCATCAACAAAGTAAAAAGAAAACCTAAGGAATGGGAGAAAATACATATTTGTAAGCCATATACCTGGGAAGAGGTTAGTATCTAAAATATACAAAAAAACCAACCCACAGCAGTCTAGTAAAAAACCAAATAACCCAGTTAAAAAATGGGCAAAGGACTTCAACAAATGTTTCTTGAAAGAAGATACACGAAAGGCCAACAGATACACAAAAAATGCTCAGTGCCACCAATCATAATGGGAATGCAAATTCAAACTATAAAGACATATCATATTAAGGCCTGTTAGAAAGGTCATGATCAGAAAGATAAGAGATAACAAAGGCTTACAAATCCAACATTTTTTGTAAAGTTAAATGGATATAATAAGATTTCGTTACCTAGAAACTAAGTATATTTATTAAAAAGTAAGAGTACAGAAATTTTATTTCTCTTGTCAATGATGTTTGGAATAAACTTGTCAGTCCACAAGTGCTCAAAGAGTACTTTTTAGAAAAACAAAAATACTACTGTATTAGATTCTTACAATGACACAAACATATTCTCTAGAATCTTTCTACTGGCTCCTTAATTTAACAATTAAACTTAGCAATGTACTTAAATTATGTTCCAAGAGCATACAATAGAACTAGTTTCAAAGTTAGAGTCAGCCTCTCAAGAAACTGTCCAGGACTGGGTTCCTTATGAAAACAATCTTACCGGTCTGTCAACCTGCATGATCTCCCAGAGCACTTCAGCCACATCGGGTAGGGTATACGGGGGGAGGCAGAAGCAGCATGTGTGAAGCAGCTGGCTTACAAGCTGCTGTCCAAGTTGGTTCATCACCTGTCCAATTAGTTCTTTCCGTAATTCAAAGTCTTCTTCATGCTGTAAGAAAACAGGAACAGGAAAGTGCTAATTTCAACTTTCTGAAGAGCAAGTACTCTTTCCTTTTAGTAATTTTCTTTCTCAGAAAAGAAAGTATATATAATAGCTGGACTCACAAGGTGCACTGTCTGTCACTAGCAAGAAAATATTAAGAATCTAGTTTCAAAAAAAAAAAAAAAAGAATTTAGTTTCAAGGAAATGGGTAAGGGCTTCAGTTGAGACTAACCCTAACCCTTAGGTTTTCCATGAATAGAAAACAGAAGAGAAACAATGGTTAGAGATTAAGGGTGGCGATCCTTTTAACCTTTTATTCTGGTAAAAAATAAAGTATTCCTATCTGCTTTTCTAAAAAGCAACGGAATGGAGGAGGAAATGGCAACCCACTCCAGTATTCTTGCCTGGAAAATCCCATGGACAGAGGAGCCTGGTGGGCTACAATCCATGGGGTCGCAAGGGATTGGACATGACTGAGCATGCACACACATAATAAGGAAACATTTTTGTTTATAAAAGTTCTTTTTTCCTTCAATTGATGGTTCTTTAGATATATTGCTTATGGGCTAAAGATATTTCTAAAAAGTATACTTTTTTCTCATGCTTGGAATGGAAGCACTCATAATTCGCAATGTAGTTTTGAAAGTTTCCATGTTGAAAAATTTAGGATAATGCAACTTTTCATTTAGTTTAATAAGCAAAAACAAAGGGAAAAAAATAAACTTTGATTTAAAAAAATCAAAAAATGAAAAAAAAAAAAAAAAAGCAACTGAAAAAAGAAAACTTCTATCAAACATCTAATATTCTCTATCAAAGAAATCTTACTTAGGAACTTCCCTGGGGATCCATGGTTAAGATCCTGCACTTCCATTGCAAGGGGTTTGGGTTTGATCCTTGGCAAAGAACTAAGCTCCCACATGCTGTGTGTGGCCACAAAAACAACAAAAAAATTTTTTTAAAAATCTTACTTATTTTCTTCCTTTTTAGTCTTTGAATATACATATTTCTAATATGTTGAAAAAAACCTTTTAAAATGCCTTTCACTTCTAGCTATTGTCTTCTTTTCCCTCTCTTTTTTTTACTGTCAAAACTCTTCAATTAGTCTATCACATACTATTTCTGCTCTCCCTTACTTTCAATGCTACTCCACATCTAGTCAAACCTACGTTTGAAAATTTTGTGAACCACTTTACCTCCAGCCAAAAAGGTCTCTGAGGTATCTACTAACAAATTTAGTCTTTTCTCTGATTATGATTTATATACCTATTTAGATTTTCTTCCAATCCATCTAAAAGGCTCCACTGTGGTCCCTCCTCGTCCAGAAAGTTATCCCAATCTACTTTTTCCAAAGAGTTTTCCCTCCTCTGATCTCACAGCAATCACAACTTTTATCACTTATCTGACAATCAAATATTGCCTTACTGCTATTGTTTAGTTCTTTACAACTCTATTTCTCCTTCAATTAGACACCAAATGGCTTGGAAATAGAGATAGTTTAGACTAGCTGATACAGCTTACAACATGTACTACAGGTTGTCTTAAATCTACTAGTTGATATTTTGGTTAGTGAATGATTCACTATGGAATATACCTACCAACACAGATCAAATGAGATGCTTCTTTTTCCCTAAGGAATGATATATGAGGTGATAATGAGCTACAAGTAGAAAAACTATTTAATACATTGTTTATACTTACATCATTGGCTACCCCTGTATGGATGAGGTCTCGGAGGAACCTCATGACACTACAGTTGGCATCCCGGTGGTCCAGGGTAGTAGAGGCAATGGCCCACTGTAAGATAGGGATAACAACTTGGCTCCTCAGCAAGGTAACAGGGCTACGCTGAATAAACCTGGTATGGAAAGATAGGCAAGGTAAAAATTACAAAATTAGGCTATAAAAATGTAGCCACGGTAAAAAGCAAAACTATGGAGATAGTAAAAAGATCAGTGATTGTTGAGGGAGTGGAGGGTAGGAACATGAACAGGTAAAACACAGGGGATGCTGACGGTACTATTCTCTATGATACTGTAATGGTGGGTATATGTCATACATTTGTCCAAACCCATAGAAAGACCTTGGCTTCCCTGGTGGCTCAGTGGTAAAGAACTGGCCTGCAATGTAGGAGACACAGATTTGATCCCTGGGTTGGAAAGATCCCCTGGAGAAGGGAATGGCAACCCACTCCAGTATTCTTGCCTGGAAAATCCCATGGACAGAGGACACTGGTGGGCTATGGTCCATGGGGTTGCAAAGAGTCAGACAGGACTTAGCAACTAAACAAAAATAGGAAGACCACCGCCAAGACAGAATCCTAATGTAAAGTAAATATTTTTTAAATGATGTGTCAATGGAAGTTCATTAATTTTAATAAATGGGCCACTCTGGTGGGGGATGCTGATGGCAAGGTAGGCTGTGAGGGAAGGAGGGGGGAAGCTAAGGGTATATGGGAACTCTATACTTCCCAATTTTCTCAGATCCTTTAATGTTCATAGAAAACCTCCAAGAAAAAGTAAAATAACATTCCAAATTTATTTTACCAAGGCAATCATTTGTGCAAAGAGAATCTCTTGAGATTAATTTTTCAAGAAACACGCCAGGAAAACAGGTTGACGGCCCACCCAACAGTTTTCTCATATCAACTCAAAAAATAAATAAATAAATAAATAAAAAGGGTTTTCTAACTTGTCCAAAAACTAACCAAAAGAAGTGTTCACTACCAACTGATTTGTATCAAATTCCTGAGCTAGGGACTAAGAATGAATACAAAAATCAGTGATACTAGTAAAAGGAATTTAAGCAACAAATGGGGTGGCAGGCTAAGAGCAGAGATGGGAAGTACAGTACCAGATAATTTTTAAAGTACCTTAAAAGTAAATTTTTATTCTGAGATACGATTATATCTTAAGGATGCTAAGCTTCTCAAGAAAAAAGCTGAAGCCAAGCATGACATCATAGTAGCACAAAACATTAAAACTACACAGGATTCTAGAGACTGTCTAGTCAAATGTTCTTGCAAAACTCATTTTTGTTGTCTTGGGTGTGTTCCCTCCTTTATGAAAGGAGCTCAGTTATTTCCCCTTGTGCTTATCCAACTCTTCTTCATTTATGGGAATATTCTGGTTCACGATTTAACTTTGGATTATGAATAATTACTCTACCTACTTCTCTTACCTAATTTCACAGAGAAGGAAACAGGTAAATGTTAGGTGACAAACCAAGCAATGATGAGGATGACCAGTAAGAGAAAAAGTTGCTTTTCAGAAGGACTGACCTCGTGGCTAGCCTGAATAGGTCATCCACTGTGTCAGGGTGATTCTGGAGTCCATTCTGCTGTTCTAAGAGCTGAAAGGTAGGGATGCACAGTGCCTAAAACAGAAGTGATTTTGAAATGAATGCTTGTAAATAAATGCCATGGGATTCAGACTTGCTAAATATCACAATATACACAGAGAACAAAGAGGTAAAGCACAGGTAAGAAAAAGATTGTGATGAGATTCAGATCAAAAAAGGGAAGACAAAAATCCTTCTCAGTTGACATAAAGTCTTCACATATGAGGTCTACATTTCAGAAAGGGTTTAGGGTACAGACTTCTGTTGATGAAATTGGATAGATGTCATCTCAAAGTTTTAGAAGTTTCTGAAAGTGACAACTCTGCATGTACTAGATATGATCTGGTCAACTAAGGGAGTAGCTGACATTTTAATAATAATAATTATGAAATGTCAATTTTAAAGGGAAAGACATCTTGGGAAAAGGAGCACCATGATTTAACTCGCTAATATATTTTCCCCTCTTTGACTAGGAGAGGGTAAAAGCAATATATAAGAAGCCTTTTACAATGCCTGCTATTTACCCTAAGGCGAGACCATCCCTGCTAAGTAAACTAGTTCACTGGCTGTTCAGGAAATTAAAAATACAATCATGCTTGAGCTAAGAGTTCCTTTATTTTTAATCCACTTGCCCATCTTCCCACCTTCCCAAAAACTCCTGTCTCTGGAGAGCATAAATTAGACAGCAATAACTGTAATGACCAGCACATTTGTGTAGTCAATCTCTCTCATTCTCCCAAGCAGACCTGTCCACAGAATATCTAGGAAGATCTACCTCCATATTAGGAAATCATTATGCCTGAGAAGGAAACCTGAAGAAGCAACAGAATTAAAGACATGGTGAAGAACACACTGCTAGGCCTTCAGACCCTCCAAGAGAACATACCTGGAGCATGTCTAGTAGTCCCTGCCGACAGCCCTCTTCCATGCCATATTCATCCACAAGGATACTACCAAGGTACAGGAAACAGGAATGCTGATGTACCTGGTAAACATTTACCATCTGCCAAGGGAAAAACCAATTAGTTCAATTATTCATCCCTCAAAGAATATCAGCTTAGATAGCTGTCTGAAGGAAGAAATTCTGAGATAGATTGGTCTCTTTAAGACAACATAATAAAGCTTGTTGGCAACATTTTCTAAAACATAGGGCTCAATAATTTTCAAGTACTCTATTTAGAGTTCTTTCAAGCCTTCGACCTTTCACCTTTTCAAAACAATGCTGTAGATGAGTTGTATAATACTACAGACTGGAACTATTCGTAAATTATTATCCAAGGATTCTGTTATATTTGCAATGCCCTAATAAAGTATACCTAAACTTTCTAACCAATAGGTTGCTCTTATATGCATTAAAGATGATTCTTTTTTAAAAAAAAAAACAACCACAGCAGGAACAAAGTATCAAATGCCCCTCATTTTAGAGGAGAGGGAAGGCATTGTTTAAACTGGTTTCTAAACTCCTTTATTTAATCTTTTGGGTAAAGAACAGTGTTTCTAACCAAGATATCTAGATCTCTGGACAATAAAAATTTTAATACAATAAAAGTATTTAAATTGTTTAGAATTTTTTACCCTGCTATCCTCCAAAAATTAGGCCACTGTACATTCATCTATTCAAAATGCCATCACATGGGAATTCCCTGGTCATCCAGTGGTTAGGAATCAGTGCGTTCACTGTTGGGGCCAGGAGTCCAATACCTGGTCAGGGAACTAAGATCTTGCAAGTTAAGCAGTGCAGCAAAAAAAAAAAAAAAAAGCCATCGTAACACACATGTTTTGATCTTATTACATAAATTCAATTCTTTGATCTTGCTGGGGTGGAAGGGTCCAGTAATTGGCTCTTATCAGCATATGGCATGAAAAGAACACAAGATGGAAGCTATGAATCTGTTTAGTGTTGTATACTCAAAATTGTATGCTGTACTTAATAAGTTATAGGCTGGGCCAGATAGCAAAGGGTTTTAGGCTCTACTGGCTTTATAATCTTTTGATCACTTAACTTTGCCACTGAAGCACAAAAATGGCCAGTAAACAATACTTAAATGATTAAGCATGACTATCAGTAAAACTTTATTTACAAAAAACAAGTGGCAGGCCCACAGCCTGGAGTTTAGTGACCTCGAATTTGTACTTTTTTTGTCATGTGCACAGATTTTTTAACATACTTTCTATATAAGATGCTACCCTATGCTATTGGAATAAAAGAGTAATATAAAAATCATGAGTGAAAGTGTTAGTCGCTCAGTCCTGTTTGACTGTGACCCCAAAGACTGTAGCCTGCCAGGATCCTCAGTTCATGGGATTCTCCAGGCAAGAATACTGGTGTGGGTAGCCACTCCCTTCTCCAGGGGATCTTCCCAACCCAGGGATTGAACCCAGGTCTCCGCCACTGCAGGTAGATTCTTTACCATATGAACCACCAGGGAAGCCCAGAAGTCATGGGCATATCCTCTAATAGCAAAGGGATATTAAACCACATTGTATTGGACCCATAACATATTGCACTGAAGAAGACACTTGACCAGAACTGAACACAGTCTAAATGTAACACATACTGTTGTACTCAGGGTATAGTAAACGCAGAAAAACCACTAAAAAAATTCTGTTAACATATTTACCTTTACAAACTTCAATCAATAATCTATAATTTAAGGAAGTGTGATCATGTAACTGCCAACTGACACAGCAACAGGATGACCCTGGTTCAGGATAAGAGCTTCCTTAAGAGTGAGGCAAAACTTAAGAACTTGAGGGGCACTCACTGTCAGGGTCGGTCCAATAGATGCCCTGCCCAGCTGGAGAAGGCCACTTCAGGTTGAGTGGGTGAGGTCTAGCCTGAAGCCCTGTAGTAGCTTTCCTCACAGATGAGTGCAAAATTTGAGAAGGTACTTGCTCAGAGTCCTGCAAATGCAAGATTGGCACTTTGCCTCGCCTCCATCAATTCTAGGTCATGGCACCTCACTTGCTTAAATCTAGTTCTGGCCCTGCTGTTAGGTTAACTCCAACATAAATTACTTAAGTGAATTAAGTCACTAGTCATAGGTGTCTCAAAAGAATATTCTAGATGATATGATCTCAGAGAGTCATGTACAATGAGCCACATCACCATAATTACATACCAATCATGCTGACTGAATGAGTCAAATTTATTTCCTGACAGATAAGACACTTATATGAACAACTAACTATAATGAAGAAAGAAGAAAATCTCTTCAGGCCAGAAACAGCAAAGCTTGACTTGCCACATTTTTAGAAAGGAAATTAATATAAAATACTTAATACATAAGAGCTGATTCATTAAAGTCATTCCCATTTATGAATTTTACACTGAGATGTGCTGCTATTTAGACTATCACTACACAGAACAGATTACAGGCTATCTGCCATAAAAATAACACACCTACCACGGCACTACTTATCTTTCAAGTATTTTTTAGTTTGTATTTAAGAAATATTGAAGTGCTTCATTTCATTAGCAAGAGCTTTTGTTCTAAAGCCTCCTATTTCAAAACTCTGTATCCTTTACATTTTCCATCTTACAGGGAACTCACCTGTGTGACTAGTGGCTGCAGCAGGGCCGCGGATCCTTTGCCTACACAGCGAACAGCAAAACGGAGGCACCGGCAACAACGCTCTACAATCCGATTATCAGCACGGTGCTTATTTAGAGTCTCAGATAAAATTGGCCATATCTGAGTCAAAAGTGAAAAGAGCACAAGGAAGAAAATAATGAGCAACTAAGTGCTGAGAAAAACGCTCCCAAGTTGGTAACAACTGATTTGGCTTTTACATAATTTGGGGAAAACTTTCTTTACAGGAACACTCATGGCCTGATTCTGGTCAGTGGGTGTGTGTAAATGTGCTGGGGTTCAATACACTATCCATCAATAAAAATAACCAAGTCTTAAGGGAAGCACAGTAATTCTTTACAACAGAATTAGCATGACTAATTTTACTAAAAAGACAAAGATCTCTATTTTTCTAAACTCTGAACTTCTGATTTAGGATGGGAAGAAGTAGAACAAATTAAAGGAAGAGATCTGATACCAATGAACACTCAAGGATAAGTGGTGTTTCTCCCCTTAAGTCTGAAAAGCACTTCTCAAAACATGCCCTCTGATCCTCATGTTACCCTGAGTTTTTACAAAGGAAGTACTGTCAAAGAGGAACCTATGATGGTTAATCAGCTTTGTCAAAAACATTCTGCTAGTACTGACCAGGCCTCTCAACAACTCTAGGATTCACAGTTAATCTCTTCCTACTTAGGCCTTTCACTGTGTTTCCTTACAGCCTATTTTCCTACCAAATCTAAAATCAAAAATATTTAGTTGGATGGTTCTATTTATCTTTTCACTGATACTGAATGCGTATCAACAAACTGAATCTTCCTACAAACCTAGAAGACAGGACCTTCTCACTTTAGTTACCTATTTAAGAGTCTTATAAGGAAGAAGGAAGAAAGCCTTATTCCACAGGCATCGATTAGTACTTACTTCCTGTATGACTTTTTGGCACGGATGAGTCTGTCCATTTTCCACAACAGGATTGGTGTGTCTGGGGAAAGACAATGATCCAAATTAGTGAAAGAAGAGCAATTTCATCAAGGACACAGAGCCCTAATCCCTGTTAGTTTATTTAGTATCATTCTCACTGATTAAAGAAAACCAGATAGTCAACTTGGGGTACATGGGCTGTAGGTATGGGGCACTACAACTATCCTTTTCATTTTTTTTCCTTTTGTAAACCTGAATATGTAGTTTTTTCCAAATTAATAAATATATTCAAGTTGTCTGAATCCACTATGAAAACTCAAGTATTGCTTAATTCCCAGTTAAAAGGTAAAAGTTTTTGAAACTCTGGTCTACCAAAGATGCTTCCCACAGTTCTAGTCTAAACTCAATGATACACAATGTGGGCCCACCCACAATACACTGAATTCAACTATCTATCTAGTTCTAGAATCCATTAATTTGAAGGAAAGCAGGAAAAAAAAAAAACTATGATTAACTACTAACCTCTTTAAAGGAAAACAATTCTTTAATTTTAAAAAGCTCAAGAGCAACTCAATAAAAATCTGCTGTCATAGTTGTTGTTTAGTTGTTCAGTCATGTCCAACTCTCTTGCGACCCCACGGACTGCCTCCCTCCCGGCTCGTCTGTCCGTGGGATTGCTCAGGCAAGAATACTGGAGGGAGGAGCCATTCCCTTCTTGACCCAGGGACTGAATCCAAGTCTCCTGCATTGCAGGTAGATTCTTTATTGCTGAGCCACCAGGGAAGTCCAATATAAAAAAATATAATTTTTCTTTACATTAAGGCATTTCACCTTTTGCAGATTTTCTTTCATTTATTGTGAAATAAGACTGTTAATATGCTCTCAGAATGGTATGCAACAGGGGTTCCCCTAATTATACAAGAAAAGCATTATACCAACTCAGAAAAAGATACTTGTAGACAAGAACAAGCTAAAACAACACCTCAGTTTCAATTTCTTCCACATAGGTTTTTATACAAATATTAACTGATATTCCAGATATACCTATAGGACATATAAGTTATATTATGCAACTAAGAAAGGATCACTCTCTGAATACTGTCACTCTAATGCTTTTTTAATTGTTAGGCTCCTCTTAACATCAAAGAAGGTTTAATTTCACCTGGTCACGGAAGAGACTTCATTATTTGTTTGCACCCACACACTATTACATAGCAATGATTATGAAAGTATGGCCTTTGGAATACAATGCAATAGCACCTGGGAACTTATAAGAAATGCAAATTCTTGGGTCCTATCAAGATCCAATCCATCAGACACTCTGGGAATGGGACCCAGCAATCTGCTGCCTTGGGAACTGAAGACCACAGGTGACTCTGATGCACGCTGAAGTTTGAGAGGGCCAACCCTGGTGGCTCAGATGGTAAAGAATCTGCCTGCAGTGTGGGAGATCCGGGTTTCATCCCTGGGTAGGGAAGATCCCCTGGAGAAGGGAATGGCTCCTCACTCCAGTATTCTCGCCTGGAGAATTTCATTGACAGAGGAGCCTGGTGGGCTACAGTCTGTGGGGTCGCAAAAGAGTCGGGCCAACACTTTCACTTTTCAAAGTTTGAGCATCACTGATTCAGGGACCAAAAGAATTAATTACATTTTAAAGTTTTTTGACAAAAAGTTTACCAAAAATAAATTCTTAGAATTTGCCTTTGCACCTTGTAATAGGAGTAAATTAGTTTTCTGACAGGTGCAGTTTATAGGAGGTACTCAGAAGCTGAGGAAAAAAACACTTTCTTACTTCTATATAGTAGTCTCACCAGAGATTTTAATCCAGGGCAGGAACCTGGCATTTCCCTTCTTACCTAAATATGACTGCAAGGCGATCTAAGAACACAGTGGGATCTGAGGATATGCCATTGCTGGGCTCCTGAGACAACAGCTGAAGAGACAGAAAGATATTAACACCTAGTCATTAAACATACAAACCTATAGCAAACATGGCAACATATGCCTCTGTACATCAACCTCTGTCCCAATATCTATTTCCTTACATCAGATCCCTGAAAGTTACTCAAAATGGTAAAAACTTTTAAATTCATATTAGCAAACTATTTTCTTCCATCTTACTGCATCCTGGCCAAGACTGCATATTAACATTTACTATATGATCATTGTACAGTGGAAAACAGTATCATTTAATTTTTTCTCATTTACTTTTATAATGATTAGGATATTATAGACATCCATATTATAGATTATATGTATTATACTATATAATATATATTTATATAATAATTTTATAATATAAAGCTTCAAAATTATTATACCTTTATATTTTAAGAGGTAAGGCAAGTTGCTTCCTGTTCTTTCCTAAAATTTCTTAGACACTTCTATCAGTATATCATTATAGATAAACTTTAGAGTCATTTCATCAAGTTCTCCTAAAACTACCACTGGTATGTTCACTGCTATTGCACCATAAACCCAATTTGAGAAGAGCTGAAATTTTCTCAACAGTCTTCAAGGAAACATGGTAGGTTATGGTTTTGGAAGTTAACTTGAATGGTGTTTTCTCTACTGTATCTTTTAAATGGTATTTCTGATACAGTAAAAATCTATTGATTTGGGAATACTTATTTCATATATGTAGCTACTTTGATAAATTTATTAATTTTAATAATGTCTCAGTTCATTCTCTTGACTTTTCCAGTAGTTAAAAGACCACTTGCAAATAAAAGAATTTCCTCTTTTCCTTTCTATCATATAAACATACTATATTTGTTTCACCTCTTATTTAGACTCACCTTTTTCAACGCCAAAACTTGAACAGAACATAGTTCACTAAGACATTCAGTAATCTTATCCAAAGGTAATCTGGCTAGGACAAGTGCTGTCCCTGAAAGACAAAGGATGACACAAATGAAGAAAATAAAAGCCGAACTGAAGTAATTCATTGGTCTACATTATATGGCTTACAAAGGCTAACTGGTTCTATTTTTTAAAAAAGATCAGCACTGTTTTTAAATTATAGTATTTTGTTATTTATGGTTGATATTTTCTATTTGGCTTAGGAAGACCATACAGACTTTCACATTGACATTCACAATTGAAGTTAATATTAAATTATTTCTCCTCAGTAGCCTACTGGTTTAAAGATGCTAAAATATGTCTCTCCACTTCCAATCCTTCAAAGAATTTAAAAATCTCCTTAAACCTCCAACTAATAAAAATAAATGGGAAAAAAAAAAATCTCCTTAAAAAGGCCAATGCCAAAGCTAGTTTATATAGCATAGTACAATGGTTCTCAAACTTCCCAGAGATCAAGGACAGCCTTTATTTTTGATAAGTACTATAAGCAATTCTTATCAGTAGAGAAGTCTGAGAAATAGGGACATTATTATTATTACTGGAAGAATGGGTTGAAATTAGAGATTAACTCTAGTTCTACCATAACAGACCCTGTGAGCTGGGTAAGACATTATCTCAGGGCATCAGTTTCTTTATCTGTAAAAATGAGTGCTTTGGATAGAACAGTAATAGTTAAGTTTGTCTTTATTTCACTTTTAAATAGTTGCAAAAATCTCCCCTTTCTCCTTTTCCCCAAATAAAATCTTAACTTGGAACTCCAATAAAATAATTAAAAAAGAAATAGAGGTAGGCAGGTAAAAGTAGGGACAGAAGGCCCAGATCCTTCCTATCCAGCTTCCCGTGTGTCACAATCCCGACCAAATGCTGAAGTATCTCCCCAACATCCAAAGGATTACACATTATGCTATATCCTTTGACTATTATTTTTTCATCTCCTAAAATTTTATTCATCCATTACAGAACAGTAATCAATTCAAACCATCAAATTTGAATAAAATAGTGAATGATTTTTCTTAACAGTCTATAACCATGGATGAATTAAATTTTTTACTTAAAACTAGAGGGGGTAAAAATCTAACACAATTTTTCCTTTTAATCCATCCCTACAGAAAAGAATGTTACTAAAAAGGTTCCTCCATCTAGAAGAAACCACCAATACAACTGGGATACCACATTTTATTACAAGTTAGTTGTCATGCTATCATCAAGGTTAAATTTCACTAGAAAATTACAAGATGGCAGCAATACCCACAGTTAGTAGTGAAGAAAATATATGACCTGATTTAATGCCTCATTATCTATGCCTCTGAAGAAAAACAACAAAAAACAAAGTCTGCTTAAAAAAGAAAGTCTGTCTTAAAAATGCATATCTACATTGGCTGGTAGGGAACCTGATCACAGAAGTGAGAAAGAACAGTTAGCTGACACATTAACACTCATCCAATCCGGACAAGGCTGTCTGACACTCACAGAAACTTAAAAGATGCCACACAGGTCCTATCACCCAATCTTTTATTTGATATACCAGCTGTAAGAACTTCATTACCCAACAGGACATACCAATCTGTTTGCAGAAAGCATGGTTAGAAAGTATTTTCTTTCTAAAAGCCAGTAAACTGTCAATAATCAATTACTCATAAAATAAATCTGCTCCCTCTTTTATAAAATAATCCTTCAAATATTTAAAAACAGCCACTCCTGTAAGTCTCTTCCCCAAGTATAAATATCTCTAATTCTCCTATTATTTTGAGTTTCATCACTACCCTGGCTGTTTGCCTTTCGATCATTCAGTGTAAACTGATTAGTAATGGTTAAAGACCATTAAGTGACCAGAACCCTTGACTTTGAGTTACAGGACTGATCTGGGCATACTACCTTTAAATTTCCACCCATCACTTTGGTATAGCAATGTTTATTTGGTTTCCCTTTTTATTCTTTCAGTTCAGTTCAGTTCAGTCACTCAACAAGGAGAAAGCGTCTTTTAATTTCATGGCTGCAATCACCATCTGCAGTGATTTTGGAGCCCAGAAAAATAAAGTCAGCCACTGTGTCCACTGTTTCCCCATCTATTTGCCATGAAATGATGGGACCGGATGCCATGCTCCAACTCAAAAAGCAACTATGATTCAGTTCCAGTATGTTAACTCCACTCAAAATCTAGGATCATGATATAAATTCTATAAGCACTCTGAATTAGTTCTATAGCCTTAAAACATTCTAAGAATGCACACACACATAATCAACATCCTCTCCTCCCAAAGTGACCTTCCTCATCATTGAGTAAACTGCAACTGAAAAGGGGGATACAGCTGACACAAGATAATCCCCAGAAGTGGCTTAAAGACTATTCTTTCTTAATATCTTAAGTAAATACCTTTTAGCAAGCCCACAGCAGCTTCTGGAGACAACATGAAGGAATCAAGGGAACGGGCAATCTCCAGGAGTCCATTGAAGTGCTGAGCCATGTGGTCTCGGCAAACAGAGCAAATGTTATGAATTGCTTTCGCTGCAGCAGAAGCCAGAGGCTTTTCACACAGACCTTTCATCAAATAGCCCAACACAGGGTCTAAGGAGAAAAGTCATACATAAAGATTACATATTTGAAACTCAAGGAAAACTTCTAGGTGTTAGAACAGAGGTTTATATTCTCCTTTAAAGCAAAAGAACCATTTTTTAAAAATGAAATATGTTTAAACCCCAAGGTATTTACATATAAAAATGGAGCTGATTTCAGTGACAAAGAGTGTCAGAGAGCCCCGAGGCCTATCTATTTATCTTGCATTTCTTACCTGTGGACATGAACTGATGCTGATTGCTAGGGCTTCACAAAGCATGGTTTGAAAACCTCTGACTCAGTTTGAAACACTGGTGGATATAACCATCCAAGTAATAAGAATACAGTTAAAGTAAGAATGAAGATAAAACTCAGAGAGTACCACAATACTCAGAGATTAATCACTGCTTGTAAAAAAAAAAAATCACCTACATTAATCAGGACAATGACAAGTTACCTAAAGCTGACACTTTTATACTTACTTCTTTATAATTATAAAAACCATAGAGACAGATCCTTAGTGCTTTGAAAAGAATTAATTCATTATGTCTTACTTGTTACCAATGTAACAATTTATAGGCAAATTTCTATACAGTAAATCCTAATTATCCTTTGCTTTGTAAAAGCTTCTCTATGAAAAAACCCTAAGAAAAATCATACATGTTTAAAGAACACTTTATGTGAACTATACAGTAACCTCACACCAAATCATAAAAGAAGTAATCTCTGAAAGCCCGTTTAAGTTATTTCCATTTTTAGCCTAATGAGAAAAATAAGGCAGCAACCCAGCAGGAACCCCTGCTTTTCCACAACACACAGCCTATTGAGCATGAGAATCAGAACTAGAATCTAAAACCTAGTCCAAGTAACTCCAATACTGTTCAGTTCAGTTGCTCAGTTGTGTCTGACTCTTGTGACCCCATGGACATGCCAGGCTTCCCTGTCCAATACTACAGGCCTCAGTGATTCTCAAATTGAATATTTGTGATTTTGACTATTCTACAGTAAGTATGAATATGTAGCACTGTGTCTTCTAACTGAGACACAAATTTAAACGAGATACAAGGTGGTACTGAATGATAAGTGTTAACAAACAGGTAAACTCACTTTGTTTCTCTGTGGAAAAATCATTCAGAAAAGAAAGCCAAATGTTGTGGCAGATAAGTGAAGAAATTTAAGTATTAGACATTAGGTATTTTGCAAAAAAATTAATGGTATGTTGAACTTGAAAGCAGCTCAACTACAATGTAAGCCTACCTATCATATGCTCTGTATACAGATACAAGAGAACAGGATCACACATCTCTCTCTTTATTTCTAGATACGATAGGTCTTTGTTGCTGAGCCTGGGCTTTCTCTAGTTTTGGAGATTGGGGGCTGTTCTCTAGTTATGGTGGGCAGGCTTTTCTCATTGCTATGGCTTCTCCTGTTGCGGAGTATAGGCTCTAGGCGCACGGGCTTCAGTAGTTGCAGCACGCGGGCTCAGTAGTTGTGGCACATGGGCTTAGCTGTTCCGTGGCATGTGGAATCTTCCTGGACTAGGGATTGAACCCATGTCCCCTGCACTGACAGGCGGATTCTTATCCACTGTACCACCAAGTACTCTTTTCAAGTAAGAGTTTCAGGCAATAAAAAAAAAAAGATCATGTGTAAAATAAAATCAAGTCAAAAGGTAATAATAAAAATAAGCACAGGGCTTCCCTGGTGGCTCAGTGGTAAAGAATCTGCCTGCCAATGCAGGAGAGGGTTCAGTCTGGGAAGATCCCACAAGCTGCAAAGCATAAGCCCACTATGGAAGCCTGTGCTCCACAACACAAGAAGCCACTATAATGAAAAGCACATGCACCGTGACTGAAGAACAGTCACTGGTCATCGCAACCAGGAAAAGCCTGAGCAGCAACAAAGACCCAGCACAGTCAAAAAAAATAAGCACAGCACATCAAACTTAATGATATTCACCAATTTAAGGATTCTTAAAACTCTCAGAATGGATCAGTCTTGAGTATCAGTGGGACTTTATATATATTAACCTAGATAAATTCTTTAGTCTCTCTGGACTCCACTTTCCTTACCTTGAAAATGAGGGAATTAGAAGAAATTATTTCTAAATTTACTTTCAATTCTAAAATTATTTTATATGATCTTTATTTTTTCAAGACAGAAAGAGGTTATACAACTCAACACTCTTCATCTTAGTTTGTACTTACTTAGTTTCAATAATAATTCTTAGTTTTTAAATAGTGCATGTATTTAACACTGAAATGCCCTCCGCTTAGCTCTAGTCTATTGCCTGCTTCTAGGTTAGAACCACAGGAGAGTCTGATTAGCTCAAGCCTATGCCAAAGCCTGACAAAGACAGTAATATTTATGCCGAAGCAGAGTACTAATAGCAAACTGTCAACCTATCTAGAGATCTAATTTTCAAAGGTCCTTTCTCCAAAATCTGTGATCAGATTATAAAATGTACCAACTGAGCAGTAACTCGTGTATCTATTCTCAGTGTCTAGAAACACTCTACTTATAAATAAAAGAGAAAGCAGGAAAACAAAAGCAAAAGTCAGAGAGAAAGAAAGAAATCAGAAAACTCAGAAGCAGTAGCTGCAGAGGGGAGTGTTCACACATACCAAGGAACTGAGGATTTCGATCGACCACTTCGCTCATCTCTCCAACCAACTCAATGCTGGTGTAGCGCACAGCTGTATGCACAGTCTCCGGGAGACGGACAACTCCCTCTAGGACCTCCACGAGTGTTGGATTGTTCTCCCTGAGTTTAGAAGGCAAGCACTCAGAGTTAACAATTTCAGAGGTGAGGTTATGGCCATAAAACAGGCTGCAATGACACAAATCATTGCTAAGGGTTTCTTTCTAAATAAGTAACCATTTGGATAAAAGTGCTTAAATCTGGTATAAAAATTTTTAACCCTCAAAAAGGGGTAAAAGACAGAAATGGAAGTTATCGCTGTTTCAGCTGAGAAGCACACTGCTCCTTAATCTTCTGAATGTCAGTGAATTGTCTAAAGACACATCTTACTATCAAATAAGGCTCTTCAAACTGGACAGGTAGGCATTTACTGTGGACCAATGTCTTTTAGTGAATTCACTTTATTTATTCCTATATCTGCAGCACCTAGAACAGCGCCTGGCACATAGTGGGCACTCAATAAATAAATATTGCTGAATAACTAAATGAATAAATAATTCTTTTAGACCACTTCCTATTAGTTGTTATTCTCCAAAAGATTTCTTATGGCTGGATAATGGAAACCTTAAGAACAGGTAAGCATGGGTGGGTCAGCTCATTGATTATAAAGAATCAAGAACAAAAGCTGCAGGAATAGATAAAGGTGCTTTGACTTAAAACATGAGAGAAAATTAAAATTACCCAAATACTTTTCACAGCTCCATGAGTTTATTTTTTCCTTTTCCTTCTCTTTTTCTCACCCCTTCAGGATACTGGCTCAAGTTCTTTTAAGCAGAGGGGAGGATGCCCCCCAAATGACCAGAACGTAATCCAGAAATGAAAGATGTTTAAATAAATCCTGGATTAGCGCAAGAACACTCCTTCCTGATAAACTAAGTCTATTAAGCCCTTTATACATTAAAAAACAAAAACAAAAACAAACCCACACCTGTAATCATGCAGTTGGCGTGAAATGTGGACAAAGAAAAAACAAAATAAAATCTTCTCTCATTTATGCCTTAAGTTTCCTGAAGGCACTAAGCTAGTGTTGAGACTCTCTACACATCCTTTCTCATACACAATCACAAATCAGTTAGATCATTAGCATAATATCTTCAGACTGTTACTGAAGATTCCAAAAGATACCAAAAAGGGTTTAAAAGCAAACAGTATGATAAGTGATTCAGGACCAACTTCTTAATAGAGAAAAACAAACCAACTTGATCTCCTTAAATATTTCCTTGATTAGAAAGTATATAAGATTTCATTGGCTAGACCCTGAAAGTCAGCTAAGAAAGAAGCACTGTACATTTTATGAATACATGCCTTAACCATCTCTCCAACCAAAGCCCTGTACAGAGAGCTCAACTGCAGGAGTCTGATTACATACAATACAGGAAAACTTGACAGATATCAGCATCAATTTATAAACTCACAGAATAAAGTAAATTCTGTTTTTAAGGATTCATGTTGAAATAATAAATAGAATTTCTTTGCTAAGTAATGAGAAATCAAATTCTAATAATTTAAAAATTTCCAACAGCAATAACAAAATAATTGCCCTTTAGATTTTGCTATTCTTTTAAGAGATATAACTATGCCATGCCTCTCTGAAACTTACAAATGATTCTCCAAGACAGGAAAAAAGGAGAACAATATAAATAAATATCCGCAAGGATAACTTACCCAAGATCACAAAAGCAGGTGAGAGCCAAATTAGTGCCTATTCAAATGCTTTTAAGCAAGTGCCAACAATTTAACAGTCTAATAAATTTTTCATTATAACAACTTTCACAAGGGAGCCTGGATTGGAAAAATAAATCAGCATTCTTTTCCTAGCATCAAGAACAAAAGAATTTTAACTCTAGAAAATGTGGTTTAAAACATGGATATCAGCAATGCATGCTACTCTGAACTAGACTCTTAGAAGTCAGAAGACTAGACAGCATTACAGAAGAAAGAAGTTCTACGAGTTTCCAAACATATCCCACATGAGGAAAAATGGCGCAATTTTCCTTCCTCTGATATTAAGAGTTCCCAGCAAAAGACTTATAGACACTCACGGATCAACACTCTTTGCTATAGCAGCCATGATAAAGAGAACCGCTTCTGTCACCTCCCAGGGTGGGTTGCCTTCTTTCAGAGTAGAATATAACTAGAGAAGAAGAGGTGGATTATGGATCCATTAAAAGAAAAACAGAATAGAGTTCCAAAACAAAACAAAAAACCTGTTAGTTAAAATAAATTCAGCCCCTTGTTTCTAAATTTAATTATCTCTCAGAGCCAGGGGAGAATAGTATTTTCATTTTTCAAATCTTCACTAACTCTAAATCAATACTAGTTTAATATTTGAAACAAATCCATTTAGAGTCCCAAGAGTATATCAAGATTATTGTCTGCCCCTACAAAATAGTATTATGGAAAAAACAAAACATATTACATGAGTGTCTTTTCCTGGTTCTGGTAACTGATAAATACATTAACACACTTAAAAATGAAACACAATGTAAAACCTCAGCATATGCATTGGCTTTACATTTATTATTTTAACTACTTGTCTGCATCAACACTAGTAGTATAGGTTAAATTCCTAAAAAGTAGCTGTTCTGAAGCACCCATCACAATACCATGTCTAAGCAAGGGTGGGTGGGGAGAGACCAAGCAGAATACTCAGAGATGTCCTAAAATTTCCCAGGGATATAGCCATCAGTGGAATGTGACTGGCTGTTAGTCTAAATAAGGTTTCTGTAATCAAATAACACACTGCTAGGTAAAATGAAATTAAACAATTCTCTTGAATGACTTCACAGAAACTTTAAATATACTATTTAGGTCATTTTCCAGTTTTAATTGACAGAACTATTTTTTTCCAGAAAAGAATATCTCATGAGACTGGTGTTCCACGGTACACATCTTGGACAAGACTCACAATTAATGTACATTTGTAAACTGAGGTCTGGAGAACAAGTAATTGGTTCAAAGTCACGGAGCCAGTGACAGAAGAGTTGAAATCTGAGCAGAGCATCTGCCTGTGATTTAGTGGGGATCTCACTTAAATCTGCTTTCTAAGAATCCCTAACCCTTTGTAATTAGGTCAAGAAACACACTTTGCTTAATATAAAGAAATATAGTTATATTAACACTTTCTAGGTCAGATGATACCCCAAAATACACCAAATGCATGGGTTACCCATCTTCCAAATTAGGTCAGTTCACTATGACTGATAAACCATCAAAATCAGTATTTCAGGATGGACAGCATGATCCAGCAATATGAAAACCAGCTGATACAATGCTAATGTTAGGTGACATGGAATGGTGATGACTGTAACCTTACGACCTAAAATGCTACTCACTGATTGTTAGGAAAACCTTAGGCCATGACTCTTCTACTCTACTACAGTCATCTCTGGGATGAAACTGCAAAGGAATCTAACCATAACTGTGAACAAAGGAAATGCCAAATAACTAAGATTGCCAGGAGTTGATACATAATTATTAAAAGCAGAAAAACTTGTCTGTTTTTCCTGGCTAGGTCCAAATTCCCTTTAAGTATCTTGGGAGCATTAAAGTTTATCTATGATCTTCCATTTCAATGGTACAAGTGGAACAGCTCTCACTAGCAAGAATATAGTGTAAAACAATAACTGAACTATTCACTGCAATTGGCTTGTAAGATACTAAACAAACACAGCTACTATATGCCAGGCAGTGTGCTAGGCACCTGCATATCTACTGTCCCATTTAGCCATCAAGATTGAAGAAAAAGATGGAACACTTAGAGAAGACACAGAAGTGAACACAATTAAAATGACTGGTAAAGCTGATTAGAATCTTCAAATGGGCTTACCTGAGCAAAACACTCCATAGATCCAATCAAGAAAATCAAGTCCTTCACCAGGTCTGACACCCGCATCCGAAACTCCCCAAAGTCATCAGTCTCCTCAGGAACGCCCTCCTGAAATTTCAAATTAGACACCATTTGTTTTAAACACACTAAGGCTTTCACTAACTTTTAAAAGAATAAAAAAACCATTAAGCAGTTCAGTCCCAATGAATAAAAAGATAAATTGCATAAATCACAAAGAAATTTTACTACAGAAAGTATCTCAAACATTAAGGTATGCAAATCAATACAGCCTATCCTCTACCTTTACTATGAGAAACTCTTTTTTTGGCATGTCCAAACTACATCCTGCCTTGTTGCTGGAAAAATCTGAAGTGGTGGAGGTGGAAAGTGTTCTAGAATATAAGTCTATCTATAATAGATAAAGTCTAGCTTTTTATTACTGAATAAGCCTCTGAAACTTTATGATTCAAGGCCTACCAAAATCAACCATTACTACAACTAGACACACAACAGAATATTAGACTTTAAAAAGAATTTTATATAGGTGCACAGATACATAACACAGGTCTAATAAAATATTAATGGTAGGAGTTAGGTAGCAGGTATACAGATGTTCATTATAAAATTATTTCACCGTTGCTGTATATTTAAAATTTTTCATTAAAAAATACAGAGATCATTCACATTTCATGCTTCTGAAGTTTTTCTTATTCTAACATCCTCCTGTGAGTACACTAAGGTTTACTAATTGTGAGATGGTTATGGGTATGTATAAGAATTTTGGACCATGAGTTTCTGGAAAAAAGCCCTTAGTATTACTGAGAATTGCTGATCTAATTCAACATTCTCGCTTTAAGATGAAAAAAGTTAAAGTTAAGGAATGAGGAGGAAATAATGGTTGACTCGGATGAGATAATGAATTATGAAGCACAGCACACCTACAAATGTATGGAATTACCTACAAGGGAAATGGTACCACAGAACTAGCAAAGAGAAGAAAGAGATCAAGCAAACACAGTCATTCAAACCAGAGTAGCCCTGTTTTTATTTACTTATCATGCTTCCAAACACTATGGAGCTGAGGACAGGATTACTCAGTTAAAAATTTGAAATAACTAAGCAAAGAATGTGTGAAGCATTTTCCAATTAACTATTTTATAATATTTCTTGTATATTTTCTTCTAAGCAAATAGATTATTTCTACATTTTAAATTATAAAATCAGCATAAGTCATATAAACAAAAACTTGCATTTATGTGTTCAGGGGAGAGTCATGTTATTTTCCATGTCCTCACACAAATATTTCATTTTTGTGTTTAGTTTTAATCCAACCACATATTTTATACTATTAAAAATACACAGCACAAATTTTACATTCTCATTTTTTCTTATTTAATTAATTTATTTTTTTTTTCATTTATTTTTATTAGTTGGAGGCTAATTACTTTACAACATTGCAGTGGTTTTTGTCATACATTGAAATGAATTAGCCATGGATTTACATGTATTCCCCATCCCGGTCCCCCCTCCCACCTCCCTCTCCACCCGATCCCTCTGGGTCTTCCCAGTGCACCAGGCCCGAGCACTTGTCTCATGCATCCAACCTGGACTGGAGATCTGTTTCACACTTGGTAATATACATGTGTCGATGCTGTTCTCTCAGGTCATCCAACCCTCGCCTTTTTTTTTTTTTTTTTTTTTCCATTTATTTTTATTAGTTGGAGGCTAATTACTTTACAACATTGCAGTGGTTTTTGTCATACATTGAAATGAATTAGCCATGGATTTACATGTATTCCCCATCCCGGTCCCCCCTCCCACCTCCCTCATTTAGCATACCAACTATTGCTATCTCAACTTATTGTTTTTAAAATGCATTACTTTTTCTATAGTTTCTTTTGGTTTTATTTATTTTTATTTACTTTTTTGGCTGCATGACACATGCGATCTTAGCTCTCCAGCCCACACCCCCTGCATTGGAAGTGCAAAGTCTTAATCACTGGGCTGCCAGGGAAGTCCCTCAAGTAATTATTTTTACCTGCTGCATTATGATCCATCAAGTTGCTACGTAATAATTTATGTAACTCTTCTATAAAACTCTTCTGTGGGGAGGGCACATGGCACAGTTTGTAGGATCTTAGCTACCTGACCAGGGATTGAACTTGGACCCCACAGCAGTGAAAGCACCAAGTCCTAATCATTGGCTCCCCAAGGAATTGCCTCTTCTATACTCTTGTACATGGATTTACCATATTTTACATTTATAGATAACGCCTTGTACATAACAATTTTTTTCTTCAGAATTATTTAAGGTGAATTCCCAGAAGAATTACTGACTCAGGAGGACTTATTTCTTTCTACATAGGCATAGCACTCTTCATTAAACTGGTATTGACTTCCTCAGTGTGAGCTAGAGTGACAGAAAACCTGCAGATTCCATTAGCTTTATTCTCTATCTTTTCAGTTCCTTTTCAAGTTAGCACTGAAAAGAAGAGGAAATCAAGACATGATTAAATAGAGAAGAAAACTTACATGATCTGGTTCCAACTGGCAGTGGCGAGCCAAGGCATGAAGCAGCCTTTGAATGTAAGCTTTGAAGATGCCATGAATAATTTCATCATTCGTTTTGTACAAGTGCTCCCCTAGTCGGTACCAAAAATTAAAGGAAATTTCTACTACCTGTCAAAAAAAAGAGAAAACATGGTTTATTTGGACCAGAAAAGAAGGCAATTTTATTATTACTAGGGCTAATGGGAAAGAAACATTTTAAACTAGTATGAGTGGAACCAGTTTAGCAGCCACCTTTTCTCTAGCAGATTATTATCTTCCCAAATCATCTTTCTATGTTAGACCCAAAACTCAACATTTAGGATGACTGGCTTTACATTCTCTGTCTAGGCCTGGGATAACTTCTCCAGCAGTACACTGGATTCTAAATTTAGAGAAACAGATACAGAAATCTCTTTAAAATTTAAGTCTTTTTCCCTAAATTCTGAAACTATTTATTTTTGAGATTAAACACTTCTCAGCAGATAACCTACAAATACCTGTACAAACCACAGCTTATCTTATATGTGGCACTATTTAAAGGAGAGAAATTCCTCAGGGTCCCTGAGAGGGGCCCTACCATCCTTTTTCCATCAAAGATCCAAAATGAAGCTATTTAAATAGAACTAACCGAGCTTGGGAGTTCTCACTTCTTATACTATTAAGAGGAGATAAAGCCTTTTTAATAAACAGAGTTTTTTTTTTCTAGTAAACTTAAAAGTGGCAGCGTGTCTTAGAGATTTGGAGATGAAGAAGACTCTTTAAGTCCTTTGAATCTCCTTCTCATTTCCATCCATAATTTGAACAAAATTTTTGGATTTTAAAACTTGGAGGTACAGTTAATATTTGGTATATTTCTTAAGCTATAAAGCTCTAAATAATAACTAAAGCTTAGAGAGGGGGCCTCAGTGGAAAAGTAATAAGCTTTCTAACAGGTTCCTTCATGCTATGTACCAGTCAGCCTAGCTAAAACCAAGTAGGAAAACAGAAAAGAATCAAAGCAGAAGCTGAAATATATTTCTTTTTAAAAAATTCACAGCAGAGTAAACTCTATGACATTAATTAAAAATAAAACTACAATTTCCCATAAATAAAAAGCTGGATAGGAGATAATAGAATGTAGACAATATGCAACATACAATTTGAAAAATAATGGCATTAGCATAGTGTAAACACTACCTCATACTGAGGGTGCCCTGCACAGATAAGAAGCAGTTCCAGAGTTCGTAGGTCCCCAAGGCCTTGGCCTGGTGTACAAACAATTTTTTCAAGAAAAGTTTCACAAAGTTCAGTGAAAATACGGCAGTAATTCAGAACTCTGTAAAGGAAAGAGGAATAAGAACACCAAGTCAGATATCTGTATATTACGTGTACATACTCACAGATACAGTTAATCAAATAAAGAAACAATCCTTGGCCTAAGAGACATGTAGTGATTATTTGCTATGGTGCATCACAATCTCCTTAACAAACATCTTTCCTTAAATCATATACTTTTAAACATATAAACAAACGTAAGTTAAGTCAGTTCAAATTCTCAATTATTAAAACATCTGAAGAAAATTCCCATTAAATTACACTGATACTTCAAAGGTCATCCCTAATTCTTACAGCCTTATCCTCTGTAAGTGCTAAAACTTACTATTCTGCATGAATCACATCTCCTTCTGCATTTGATTTGCCACTTCTGGTTCAGAGGTGAATAGCAGAGCATCTTGAGGATGCAATGTATATATTTACACAGGGTCATGAAGAATGGAGGTTTGTTTTTTTTTAATCTAGCAAACTTAAGTGACAGCATGTCTTAGAGATTTGGAGATGAAGAAGACTCTTTAAGTTTCTTCAATCTCATTCTCATTTCCTTCCATAATTTGGAGAAAAATTTTGGATGTTAAAACTTGAAGGTACAGTTAAAATTTGATACGTTTTTTAGCTGTAAACTCTAAAGAATAACCGAAGCTAGAAACAGAGCTTCAGTGGCAAAATATGGATGAACAGAAGGTGACTTAAAAGAATCCCAGGCTGTATGGTCTACTGCCCTTAATAATTACTCACTTATCTAAATCTTCACGTGCCACAGCCATATGATAGGCTGTCTCCAATGTCAGGACGCCTTGAAAAAGTTGCATGGCTAATGCCAAGTTGGTTTCCACATTCTCAATGGCATAGAGAGCTGAGCACACGCAGTCTGAAGCAGCTTCATGTAGGTTTGATGAGGTCTTATCCTGTTGCTGGGAGGTAGCAGGAATAAAGAAGTAAGATAATTAAGCTGTAATCCAACAGGAGAGCAATTAAAGCCTGTTTCTGAACATGTACTTTATATATGCATAATAGCCTAATATTCATGGCCTTCAACAAGACAACATCCATCAATCTTCCTATTTCTGACTATTATTTCCCTATTTGACAAGCAAATCTGCCTTTTGGTACTTCAATCATGGTCACATGACTTCTAAAATTCATGTTTTCTCCCATTTACTAGTCCCTCCTGGAATGCCTTGTGTTCCCTGCCCTATTTTCCATGGAAATCGTCTCCATTTTTTTTTCTGATATTCAAGTACTATTTAAAGCGAAAAGAAAGGTTCAGCAAGTATCAAGGACTGAAACCTAACACATTACTGTGATATTTCAGAATACCAAGGTTAAACAGAGGTTCTAAAAGCTTCTGGGGAAAAGAGAAGGTAACTAGAAAGGAGCAAAAATCAAGTTATTCACCTCATTAGCAATGATACCTGCCAGTATATAGGAAAACAAGAACTTGGAAATTTTGAAGAAAACAAATATTGAATTTGGAACTTTATATCTAAGCTAAATCATTAATTAAGAATGAAATAAAAATATTTCTCAAGAATGCATGCAAAAACTCAGCATTTATTTCCCAAATATCCTACTGAGGAAAGTATCTGAGATGTGTCAAAAAAAAAAAAAAAAAAAGGTTAATCCAATCCATAAGCAGAGTAAAGAAAAGCCCCAGGATGACAACTGGGAGCAACTGATACAAACTAGAGCATATTAGAAGGTTCAAGGAGGGAGGCCTCTAGGGGTTCTATTAAACATCTCAGAGATTGGATAAATTTAGTGAAGGCATACTGGTCTTTTGTGAATAATAAAGAACAATGACATTTAAAATCTCCAAGGGGGTAAAAAGCTATAAAAGCAGGGTTGGAAAAGCACAAAGACACAAATTATTCATTAGGTTATTCTTTTGAGTGGTGGTGAACTCAAAACATTCGTTGTACTACAATGTTTCAAAAGTTAAATAAAGGTTCAAATTTACTTTTTGTATATACCAAGTATCATTTTTAAAATATTTTTTTAAAGAACTATAAGAAAAAAAGCTATATATTAAGGTCCTGGCCTAAGCATTTCTTTAGTTGCTAGGTTGTGTCCAACCCTTTTGGCGACCCCATGGACTGTAGCCTGCTAGGGTCCTCTGTCCAAGGGATCTCTCAGGTAAGAATACTGCACTGAGTTGCCATTTCCTTCTCCAGGGAACCTTCCCGACCCAGGGATCAAACAGACGTCTCCTACACTGCAAGCAGATTCTTTACAATTGAACCACCAGGGAAGCCCTAGCATAAAGCAAACTAAACTATTTAGTTTTATGTGACATGATTGCAAACCACTGAAAGAATATAAGAATGAAAATATATTGACCCTGACTCTAGAAACAGTCTTAAGTAACAGAGGACTGGTCATGACACTGGATCAATAGAGAAAATAATAGCAATATATCTGGCACATTACTTAGTTTGTTCTTTACACCAATCTCAGTTTCCAAGAGTCATCACTGAAGTTTGAAGTGTATTTTAGACTGTCCTCCATTCATATGTTATCATATTTATATACTTTTTTAAAAAAAAGTGGGACCTGAATTTTTTAATACTGACTACTCTTTCACACAAACTGGTGAGATGAAAATCAGAATTACTATCACTAAGGTACGGCATCAACAGACATGGACACAAAGATAATGATTAGCAAATCACTAGCATCTTAATTTTCCTGAATTTTAGCTTCTGATGCCAGAACAGCAAAATACACTAAAAACATTATATATAATATCTAAAACGTCTCCTTGAAGAATCCATTTTCCTTTTTTTTCTTAAATCCACAGTGATATCAATTAATATCACACTGTCATCTTCTAAATAGTGTACCAGCATACACCCAGTATGGAAATACAGAGTTCATGGAAGGGAAACCATCAGGGAGAAAGAGACAAAGTCACACCCACCTCCAAAGGTCTGTTTAACATCTGTGCTTGAGATACTGCTGCTTCTTGTTCTAAAAACTAGTCTTATTCTAAGCACTTCCATCAACCAAGAGAGAGGAATGTACTACTAGGCATTATTACTTTTAAAGTTTAAGAAAGAAATGTACCTTTCAGTATATAATGTACCAGTCAGTATGTAAAAAGACACTACTTTTAATCTCAAAAACCCAAAATTCATCTTATATATACCCTAATGTTTAACTATCTCAACTACGAAGATAATATTCTGATCCGTAATTGTCTCAACCACCCAATGGTCATTATTAGAAACATACAACTTAATACTTCAAAAATAACGAAAAAGATGCCAATGGTATTTTTGTTACTTGAATTTTAATATGTAAATGACTGATTTACATATAAGACTATTTTTCTCTTAAATCTAACTACATTCTATTCTGAGCATTAAAAATAGTATCTTAATTTGATATTTGGCAACAAGGAAGGCACAGTGCTGCTTTCTTACCATACACTTCCTACTCACACTGCAAAAATCTGAAGACACTCTTATATCCCATAAGGGCAGTTATTATAAGTGACTATGTGCCAGAAATAAACAAAAGCCATTTCATAAATGAAGCCATTACTTACCAAAACCTCAAAAAGGAGTGCTAGTAACTTATTGTTAGCCATGAAGTTACTGTCCAAAACTCCTAAGTTAAACCAACTTCCCAAACAGCGAAAGACCTTCATAAGCATTTTCTCATCTGTTCCTGCTTTTTCTACACAAGTCATCTGAAAAGAAGAAAAAAATTATAAAAATAAGACCAATTTTTACATTTAAAACATTGTTAAAAATGAAATATTTTTTACAATCACTTTATAGGTATGATACTGAGAAAGATAACAATAATAGCCAACAGTTACAAGTGCTTTTTACTTGCCGGACATTGTCTCATTGCTCTTAATTCATTTAATCCCCACTAAAATTGTACAAGTATGTATATATTATTATTATCTTTATTATCTCCACTTTCTAACCTGAGAAGCTGAGCTACACAGAGGTAGAGACTGGTTCAAAGATACATGTTTCAGAAACAACTACATTTCTTAGATTCCACTTCTGTATTAATATAATCTTATAAAGAGAATTGTCTTTAGCACTCATCATCTCAGCCCCTTCATGTTTCACAGCCTTGTCATGGCAAAGCGGTTTGCATAACTCAATGCAACTATAAGCCATGCCGTACAGGACCACTCAAGATGGATGGACAACTACTAATAGCTCTAGGAAGACTGAACTGGCTGGGCCAAAGCAAACACTCAGTTGTAGATGTGTCTGGTGAGGAAAGTAAAGTTCAATGCTATAAAGAATAATATTGCACAGGAACCTGGAATGTTAGGTCCATGAATCAAGATTAACTGGACACAGTCAAGGAGGAGATGGCAAGATTGAACATCAACATCTTAAAAATCAGTGAACTAAAAGGGACTCAAATGAGAGAATTTAATTCAGATGACCATCATACCTATTACTGTGGACAAGAATCCATTAGAAGAAATAGAGTAACCCTCACAGTCAACAAAGAGTCCAAAATGCAGTACCTGGGTGCGGTCTTAAAAACAATAGAATGAACTGTTTGTTTCCAAGGTAAATCATTCAACATCACAGTAATCCAAGTCTATGCCCTAACCATTAATGCTGAAGAAGTTAACCAATTCGTTGAAGACCTACAAATCTCCTAGCACACAAACACACACACACACAAAGATGTCCTTTTCATCATAGGGGATTGCAATGCAAAAGGAAGAAGTCAGATACCCAGAGTAACGGGCAAGCTTCTCCTTGGAGTACAAAATGAAACAGAACAAAGGCTAACAGAGTTGTATCAAGAGAATATGCTGGTTACAGAACACCCTTTTCCAACAACCCAAGAGATGACTCTACACATGGACATTACCAGATGGTCAATACTAAAATCAGATTGATTATGTTCTTTGCAGTCAAAGATGGAGACATTCTACACAGCCAGTAAAAACAATACCTAAAAAGATGACTGTGGTTGAGATCATGAGCTCCTTACTGAAAAATTTAGGCTTAAACTGAAGTAAGTAGAGAAAACCACTAGGCCATTCAAGTAGAACCTACATCAAATCCCCTTATGATTATACAGAGGAGGTGATGAATAGATTCAAGGGGTTAGATCTGGTAGACAGAGTGCTTGAAGAACTATGGATGGAGGTTCATAACATTGTACAAGAGGCAGTAACCAAAACCACCCCAAAGAAAAATAAATCCAAGAAGCCAAAGTGGTTGTCAGAGGAGGCTCTACAAATAGCTGAGGAAGAAGAGAAGCCAAAGGCAAGGGAGAAAGGGAAAGATATATCCAATTGAATGCAGAGTTCCAGAGAATAGCAAGGGGGAGACAAGAAGGCCTACTTAAATGAACGATGCAAAGAAATAGAAGCAAACAACAGAATGGGAAAGACTAGAGATTTCTTCAAGAAAATTAGAGATATCAAGGGAACATTTCATGTGTATTCATGGCAAGAATACACAGAATAACTACACAAAAAAGGACTTAATGACCCAGATAACCATGATAGTGTGGTCTCTCACCTAGAGCCAGATATCCTGGAATGTGAAGTCACGTGGGCCTTAGGAAGGATTACAACAAACAAACCTAGTGGAGGAGATGGAATTCTAGCTGCGCTATTAAAAATCCTAAAAGATGATCCTGTTAAAAAAGTGTTGTACTCAGAATGTCAGCAAATTTGGAAAACTCAGCAGTGGACACAGAACTAGAGAAGGTCAGCTTTCATCCCAATCCCAAAGAAGGGCAATGACAAATAATGTTCAAACTATTGTACAATTGCGCTCATTTCACACGCTAGCAAGGTTATGTCAAAATCTTTCAAGACAGGCTGCAGCAATACAGGAACCAAGACCTTCCAGATGGACAAGCTGGGTTTAGAAAAGGTAAATCAAACTGCCAACATCCACTGGATCATGGAAAAAGCAAGGGAGTTCCAGAAAACATCTATTTCTGCTTTATGGACTATGCTAAAGCCTCTGACTCTGTGGATCACACGAACTGTGGAAAACTGAAAGAGATGGGAGTTCCACTACATTACCTGTCTCCTGAGAAACCTGTATGTGCATCAAGAAGCAACAGTTAGAACTGGACATTGAACAACTGACTGGTTCAAAATTGGGAAAGGAGTATGACAAGGCTATATAATATCACGCTGCTTATTTAACTTACATACAGAGTACATCATTTGAAATGCTGGGCTGGATGAGTCACAAGCTGGAATCAAGATTGCCAGGATAAATATCAACAACCCCAGATATGCAGACGATACCACTCTAATGGCAGAAAGTGAAGAGGAACTAAAGAGCCTCTTAATGAGGGTGAAACAGGAGAGTGAAAAAGCTGGCTTGAAACTCAACATTCAAAACACTAAGATCATGGCTTCTGGTCCCATCACTTCACGGCAAACCTAAGGGGATAGAGTGGAAGCAGTGACAGATTTTATTTTCTTGGGCTCCCAAATCACTGCAGATGGTGACTACCACCAGGAAATTAAAAGGCGCTTGCTCCTTGGAAAGAAAGCTATGACAAACCTAGACAGTGTATTAAAAAAGCAGAGACATCACTTTCCCAACAAAGGTCCATGTACAGTCAAAGCTATGGTTTTTCAGGTAGTCATGTATGGATGTGAGAGTTGGATCATAAAGAAGGCTGAGTGTCAAAGAACTGATGCTTTCAAATTATGCTGGAAAAGACTCTCAAGTGTCCTTTGGACTGCAGGAATATCAAACTAGTCAATCCTAAAGGAAATCAACCCTGAATATTCACTGGAAGAACTAAAATTGAAGCTGAAGCTCCAACACTTTGGCCACCTGATGTGAAGAGCCGACTCACTGGAAAAGACCCTGATGCTGGGAAAGGTTTCGGCTAAAAGAGAAAGGGGCAACAGAGGATGAGATAGGTTAGACAGCATCACTGACTCAATGGACATGAATTTGAGCAAACTCCAGAAAACAGGGGAGGACAGAGGAGCCTGGTGTGCTCCAGTCCATGGGTTTGCAAAGACTCAGACAGGACTTAGTGACTGAATAAGAACAAATAATAATTGATCTTGAATTAACAAAATGGAGAATAAATGAAGGGAGAAAAATATTAGAGTCCAGGCTCAGTTCAAGAGCAAGAAAAATAATATTTTAAAAAATTTTAAAGTTCAATACAATGTTTAGGAATAAGTCCATTTGAATGGACCACAAAGTTAATACTGACAAGATAAAAAGATAGAATAAAAACATTAAAGAGAACATGGGGGAACTAAATGAAAAAAATTCTAAGTCTTTAGTATCTGCTATCACAGCCAAGTACATATTTTTATTGGTGATTGTGGACTAATTTCATCCTCTAAGTTCTAAAACATGACAAAAGACATGAGAGACTTATAGACCTTATTAAGTCCCACAAGGATATATCAATATTTTTCAGATATCATGATGATATCACCTGTCGTCAATTATGAAGTGCTAAATCAAGTTCAAGTGGCTAAATGCACTTGATCATCATGGCAGTAATAACGATTATAAGGACTATAGCGGCTGCTGAATTTTTTTTAGTCATTTGAGTGCTTACAAAATTACAAGCTTGGGTCTGTTAACCCAGCTCAAGTCACAGTCTGAGAACTAGCAAACTTCCACGACAGCTCTAAATGAAGCTCTTATAATATTGCTCAAACTCATATACAAAATTTAATTGTGTGGCAGGCTGAATTACAAACAACAGTTGAATTTACAGTCCTACCAAGTTTCTCGTGTCAAAGTTCTGAAATTGACTGGTAAACAGTGCACTTCTGATGTTTGGAATGGGGATATCTGGTTGGACCCTAATGAAACTGGTAATCCAAGTCACTTTTGAGTCTCCCTTACCAATAGAAGTAGCTTCTGCCTTCCAATGTCTGAGACTAGCCTTCCTCAGCTTGAAAGCCCTGTAATAACCCCATCTGAGACAGAGGGCTTGAAAGAAGATGCCCAATCTCTTCAACACCTTCCAAAAACATCCCCAATAACACTCATAAACTAAGGTCAAGTCTCAGAATGTTCTAGGGGAACAGGAGAAAACAACTTATACACCAAGAGAACTGTGAAACTGCTTATATGTGTCTGAAGAAACCTAGGAAACACGCAGAAAGGTGTTAGACTGAGGAAGGCTGGACTATAACACTAGATTGAGCCAAACATTGACACAAGTATACTTCCTTGAGACTCTTCATTTAATGAGCGTATGGAGTCTCTGGGAAGTACCAATAGGAACATCACAGTGCAAGTATCTAGAATTTTGGAACAAATCTATGCATTCTTCTGCAGGTAACTATCTGTCTTTTGAAAATCAGCTTCTGGCTTGCTATAAGACCTGAGCAGGCTATCCACAGGACATCAAGTGATCATGTGGCCTGAGCGTCCCACCATGAAACTAAGTATTGTCTGAACTACTGAGACTTAAGATTGGGCATGCATAACAGAGACTTGTCATCAGATGAAAATGATACAAAGAGGTTGAGTATAGGAAGATTTGGAAGCTACAAAAATGTTACATGAGTATAGGTGGCTCAGATTCTCTGACACCACTTATTCTTGCATTGATTCATCCCTTTCAGTCCATGCCTGTGGCCTCCTGGGATGTTCCTTACAACTGGATAATTGAAAAAGAAAACATTCAAGCCTGGATTAGAGATTGATCAGCATATGCTGGTACCACCTGAAGGCAGACAGCTACAGCATTACAGGCCCACTCGGGGGCCATAGTGAAGGCCAGTGCTGAAGGAAAACCCTCCTAGTGGCTGTAACTTCAAGCAGTATGTATAGCTGTCCACCATGTCTGCAGTGAGATGACCAGAAATTTGGATCGCCACTTATTCATGGACCCTTGTCAATCATTTGGATGGATGATCAGGGATTTGGTAGAAACAAGATTGGAAGACTGATGACAAGAGGTCTGAGAAAGAGGCATATGAATGACACATAAATGGGCACAGATTTCTGCCCTATGTGAATACCCACCAGAGCATCGCTATAATGGAATTTCCCAATGATAGACAAAATGACAAACTCTAACAATGTCAGCCTCTTTCCCCAGCCACCCAGTAAGCTCAATAGGCTCATAAACAAAGTGGCCAGAGTAGTAGGGATGGAGGCTAAACATGTATTAACATGGATTTCCACTTTACCAGGGCTTAACAGGTAAACACTACTGATGAGTAGTGTCTCTGTCAACAGCAGAGACAAACACTGAGTCCCCAGTGGCACCAATTCCCATGGGGACAGGTTCACTGATTATATTGGCTTCTATCATGGAGGAAGCAGAGATTTGTCCTCATAGGAATAGACCCAAATTCTGGATATAGAACTGTCTTCCCTGCTTGTAATGCTTCTGTCAGCATTATCATTCGTAGACTCAAAGAATACCACATCTAATCATCATGGTATCATATCAAATCAAGAAACTCATATCAGAGTAAAGGAAATACAGTAATGGGCAACTCTGAGCTCTATTAGTTTGGAGATCTGGGTCCCAAAGAAGGATGCTTCCACCAAGAAACTCAAAATAATTCCGGTGAATTGGAACATAAGACTACCACCTGGACAATGGGAGCTTCTTATGCCTGAACCAACAGGAAAAGGAGTTACTTTACAGATTATAGAATGATGAATCACAATTACCAGTGAAATACTGTATTGCCTCTATATAATCAAAGCAAGGAGTTCTAGGTCTGAAACCCAGAGGATTTTCTAGGGAGTCTCTTTGTTACTTCCATGCCCAAAAGGTTAATGGAAAACTATAGAAACAACAATCCACAAGGCAGGATGATTGAGGGCTCAGGCTTTTTGGGAATGAAGTCTTGGATAACTTCACAGAGTAAAGAATCCCAAGCAGCTACGTTTCTGGTCAGGGCAGGTGGTCCATTCAGGCTGCTATTAACAGAGTAATACCGAATAGGTGGTTTATAAACAATAGAAATCCTTCTTACAGTTCTGGAGACTGGAAGTCCAAGATCAAGGTACCAGTCTCTGCTGAGGACCTGCTCCTTGTTTCATAAACAATTGTCTTTTTACTGGCATAAACAGGGAGGGAGCTGTCTGGGGTCTCTTATATGGGCACTAACCCCATTCATGAGGGCTCCACTGTCATGACCTAATCCCCTCCGAAAGGCCACATCTCCAATACCATCACCTTGGGGGTTCACTTTCAACATATGAATTTTGAGGCAGGGGCACACACAAATATTCAACCTATAGCAGCAGAGAAAACATGAAATAAGTTGTGGAAGAAAAAAGCCATATATACCAATTACAGCCTTGTAATCAATATAAGTGAGGACTGTAGTTTCTACCTGCTTGTTACACCACTGCACTGGTGTTTAAATATGTGTAAAAGAGCACCTATGGAAGCTAAGTTAAAAGGCAAGACTGTGGCCAGCTGTAGAGCTATTGCCTCTCAGCTCCAAATTCACCCTTTTAGAACTACTCTGTGAAAATGGATCTGGGCCCTTTAAATATTTTTGTCCTGTGCCAGCTGGCACTAACTTTTTGTCAGAAGGTCACTAGAGAGAAAGTGCAGAAGGAAAAGGGTTTTGCTTCCTGATTCTAGTGTGCTCACTAAGCAGCCTGTGAAAGAACATGCAGCTTCTTCAGCTCCAAACTCATAGCTTCTCTGGTGTCCAGCTCTTGCAGTACATTGGCCAGCACTTTCTCCAGCACCAACTCTCATCCTCACCAACACTTTTTCAGAAAACTGCTCCTGGCTCCTAAGGAATGTACATTCTTCTTTAGCAACAGATTCAGTGCACTTAGCTTCTCCAGTGCCTACAGAACACAGTGGCCAGTAGCTTCCTCTGACATTCCCACACCCAGCTGATTTTGTTGCAGAGTGCCTCTGGTGAGATGCCTTCCCTAACAACTTTCTTGGCCTTCCTAGAAAGCAGATTTCTAGCAAGTTTGAGAGGAGAGATTTTCAGTGGCATGCAGCACCACAGTGACTTCTTTACCATGACCAGACCATTACCAACAGGGTTTGAATCCCAGTCCTGGGAGAGGGGTGAACTCTTCCTTCCCTAGAAACTCTATCTTAGCCTTGACCTTAATGACTGCTCCTTGTATCTGTTTTATTTCTATATTTTTCAGAGCTCTCTTTACCTCTTACTAGACAATCCCTCATTACTACAGATGCCTATTATAGTTAAACATTCTTTATACTGAACAGTCCCAATAAATTAATAGGTGGTTTCTCTCTCCTGACTGGACCCAAACTGATACTAAAAGGAACCAAGGCTTCTAGATCTGGGGCAAAGCAGTAACTAGATGAATACTAGTTATTTTTTTCTGTGAGGAGATAAAGATGTGCTCCAGTGGCCAAAGTCATAACATTTAAAACATCAAAAGAATAACTTAAGCAAAGACCCTGAGTCAATGAAACTCATGAGCCCATAATACACTATAAAGAGAAAGTCAAGGGGGAAAAGTAACATTTAAGTCATCTTTAAAACAAAATCCTTATATAGAAAACAGGATAATTAAAAATTAAAGATTCATCCTGCCTGTCTAGTGGGAACTCAGAAGAATGCTAATATGCATGTAGAAAGAAAGAATTAGCAAAACTTTATTTTGCAAACCACGATGAAATTATTAAGGCAAGGATTATAAACTTAGAATTTAACATTCATACAAACTGCATTATATTGTAAAGGGAGAAACAAACTTTATAAATGGAACAATCAAACTGTCATCATTCTAATCTAGTCAATCCTAGCATCACTAACAGAAGGTCAACCAAAAAGTATATCTTCTGATAAATTGCAGCATGAAATATATAAGTTGTTTTCTAGCTAAAAATATTTAACCTTTTAAAACTAACCCATCAAAGTCTTTCAGTCTTTCTTACCAGGTTCCTGGGGAAGAATTAAGTCCTGCAGAAAATGATTTGAGCATCTATTTTCTCAATCATCCTATGAATGGTATATAGGAGAACCTATAGATGCCTTAGGGCATTTAAGGCTTAATTCTCTTGAGGAATTCCTACTGAGTAGGGCTGCTTCAGATATCACTTCCAATCAGAAGAATTAAAGAGCACAAAAAAAAACAAACTAAATCACACAAAGACAAAGACAATCCAGGAAGTAAGAAGATGCTTTATAAAACAACTAGTCAGTCCAGTCTCAACAAATCAGTGTCATTTTGAAAAAAGGAAGAGGAGGGACTGCGATCATAACAACTCGATACAAGGCATGGTTCTAGAAAATGCTACAAATATGTTACGACCAACTCAGGAAATGTGAATATGGTCTAGGTATTTATTAGATGATATGAAAATTTACCAAAATGGAAAGATGAAGTTGGAGGACTGGAAAAGCAGGCACCAGAAGGGTGGGTAAAGCATATTCTCATTTGGATTTTCAAAATCTGTATACATGTTCACAGAGGATACATACTAAAGGATTAAGAGTGTGATAGATGGTTTGAATGTAACTTGATTATCTATATTTTCTAATTTTCTATTACATGATTTCTTTAAAATAAATGGTTAATTGAAAACACATGAACTTCTAATGAACACAATTTTAAACAAAACTTTGTTTTTCAAATGAAAAGTTCTATGATGCTGAAGTACTGAAATACATTCCTGAAAAATAATCTACTCTAACCACACTGTCAAGAAAATTGACCTGAACACAGACCTAAAAATGGTATATGGGCTAAATAAGCAATTTAATACCATTTATTAGTTCAGGAATCAGCAAAATTTTTCCACAGAAGGGTCATATAGTAAATATTTTAGGCTTTGCAGACCATATCGTCTCTGTGAAAACTACTCAGTTCTGCTGTGTTAGTCCAAAATTATGGCCACAGACAACATGTAACTGAACGGCCATGACTGAGTCCCAGTAAAACTTCATCTACAAATAGCCCATGGACCATAAATTCACCCACCCTGGTCAAGGACATTAAAATTTCCACCTAATCAAAAAGGATGCAAGCACATTTAACTCTTTTTTTTAAAGAACAGTATACTCTATAATTATGATATTATTCAAAGGTCAAATAAAGTCTTGTACCACCACCCTCCTGTACCACCACCCTATCAAAAACTCTCAATTTATCCCTTAGAGAGGATCCTTTCCTTAAGTGAATTTATACGCAGTTCCTGGAGCACAATCCTTACTCAAGAGCCTACAGCTGGTAGCAGGAAGGAGGAGAACAAGGGATATGTAATCAGAAGACCTGAGTTCAAATTCTGTATTAGCAGTTGTGTAATTCTAAAACCTGTTTCTCATTCATAAAATGGAGATAATACCACCCTGACAGCATTACTTAGAGGCTCAAAGAGTATAGTTTCTGCAAGTACTTTTTAACTGTAAAGTGTTATATAAACACCATAGTGTTATCATTGCCAAATTTTGCTAAGAAAGCTATTTTACAATAGTGCTACTGAATTACAAAATAACCACCAAAGCTTTTTGCACATAGGCAACAACTCAGCATTTCAAACATACCAATAGAGATACTACTGTACTAGAATAGAAGGCCAAATCTTCTATAATTTCTGTACGCCGATTAGCTCCAATTCGTAAGGAACGACTGTGTACTTCTTCAGGTAACACTGTAAGGATCTCCAGCAGAAAAGGCAGAGAAGTTACATCATTGCTATATCTAGGTAAGAAAAGAGGAGAGCTATAAGTTATTCAGAGCCCCAAAATACACAATCACATAAGATAAAAACAGCCATCAGAATAACCCATGACAACAAAGTAGAATTCTCACTATAGTTAAAGGGGAGAAAAATCTGATACACTCTTTTGGAAAGACATCTAGAAATCAAACTTTCAACTTGGATAAAAATCTATGACCCAGCAATTCCACTTTCAGAAATTTATCTTTCAGAAAAATCTCACATACACACAGAGATGTATATGCACAAGTATTTTTTTTTTAATAATAGCAAAAATACTGGGAAAATATAAAGGTCCTTCATATTAGGATAAAAAGGTTACGATATCATACAATGGAGAATATATAGACATTATAATGAGTATCTATGTCATAACATAAGATGTCCACAATTAAGTGAAAAAAGTATATGAAACATATTATTACATATAACTGAAGAAAATACATGTTTATACATATTAATACATATATGCACCTTTTTATTTTAAAATGCTTAAAGGGAAGTCTAGAGGGCTATACAGTCAGTCACTAATAGTGGTTACTTACAAAATATAGGAATAGGAAGAGATGAAAGTATTTGCTTTTTACTTTGAAAGCTTCCATACTGCTAGAATTTTTTCAAGGAGCATGCATAATATTATCAATAAAAAGTTTCTTAAAATAAAAAATAAACTACATAAAGGTTTTAATGACAGAATATAGTTGGTAGTAAAAAGGACATCCACTTTGTTTAAAAATAATTTCCTAACCAAATGCCAAAATGCAAGCAAATATCAAGATTATCTTGCCAAGATCATGAGGAAACGCTTTATTCAAAGCAGCAAGCATCATATACCTAAAAATAATACTGTCCTTTTTATAGACATGAAATGAATCCCAATTAGTAAGAATAAACATTCTGACTATATTTTTATAGAAACCATTGATATGACAGTTAGTGGGAGTGATCCACAAGACAACGAAAGGTTTTGTTGTACTTAATTCAAGAAGAGTGTGGGTGTGTGGGTGTGTGTGTGTGTGTGTGTGTGTGTAAACTATATGAGTCTTTAACGTCCCACACGACATGCTTCTATAGTACTTAAGTTTTAACTGATTTTCTCATACTCTAACAAAGGTTAATAACAAATAAATCTACGCCAAAAGTTTGGGCATGTTCAGTTGCTTCAGTCATGTCTGACTTTTTGCGACCCCACAGACTATAGCCCACCAGTTCCTTTGTCCAGGAGATTATCCTGGCAAGAATACTGGAAAGTTGGGGGAAATAATCCAAATGTCCAGCTTTTGCTAACAAATTTCTCTGTGTAGGTTAATGGTAATTCCAAACGCCAGCATATAGTCAAAACAAGCTACTTACTTTTCCACCAATGTCTGTACACATCCCTTCCAGGAAGGCATCTGTAGGGCAAGGTCTGCTATTGCTAAAGCCAGCTGAGTAAAGAGAGAGATTAAATAAATGAATAGACAGATGAACAGAAATAGAGTTAGCAACAATATCAACTGGAAAGCAAAGAAACTAAATTTCTTCCAAACAATATGACAACTTAGACAGCAATACCACTCTTCTTCTCAACCCCACAACTATGTATCATGTAAATTCTTCTGGACTAACTACAAATTGCTGGGATTTAAAATTTAACCTTTAAAAATGAAAAACCAAATTAAAACATAACGAAGTCAGAAAGAACAGACTGTAGATTTTCCTCAGACTATATCAATACTTACTTTTATTTGGCAATACCATAGAACTTCATGGACTTATATACTTTGTCAAAAACCCAAAGCTACTGACAGTCAGCCCTTTGACTCACTCAGTAATAAGAGTGCCATATCCCTTCTCTTTTCATTTCTTATTTTGAAATCTCATGCAAAAGCCTCCTTCCTCTTCAAGAGCACTTCTATGCCAGGCAGAGAACACATGTGAGTATGTATTCACTGAAGCGTCATCCACTTTTCCTTTGTAATGTATTTCCCTATCTAAGGTGGAAAGGCCAGATGCTCTAGTTTACCATTTCATTCATGAGACTTTTTAATAGCTAATCAGTCCAGAAAGGATTTTTAAAGACAACTATGTAGACCTCTGACCCAGGACAATACTTTATCACCTACAAACTAACAAGAGTGTGTGTGTGTATGTGCAAACACACGCCCACATAACGTGACTGTGAAAACCTAAACACCTCCCTCAATTTGGTTATTTAAGGTAGTCTGATATCAAATGAATTCTAAGATAAATACAAAGATTTAAATTTTTCACGTTCTATTCACTTCTAAGAATACAGCAATGAGTCTTTAAAAAGTTAACATCACTTCTCATGGCCTAGCAATGTTAATCAAAATTAACTTGATAAATTCAAATGGCTTTATAAATTTTCCTAATGAGACGCATAGGATTTACCTGCGTTACAATAACAGGTGACAAGTCTTTCAAGTTCTGGATATGAGTTAGTAATGAGTCCCGTAAAGAGGCATGAGAGTCTGTGGGGAGCTCATAAAATGAGGTCTGAATCTTCATTTTCATGGTCTGTGCAGCAAAATAGCATGATTCTACATCTTGCCGGATCTGTAACAACTGGTCTGAAATCTCCCATGCATGAACCTAAAAGTGACAAAAAGAAAAGTCATAAAAACTACTTTTCTAAACAACCTTAATGCCACACAACCTCAATACACATACAAACTTATTAGACCAAAGTATAATGAAAGAAAAAATCTGAAAGATAAATTACCAACCAATTCAGTCAAAACTTCAAACTACTGCATATTTTTATAGGCCGAGCTCAACAAAAGTACTACCTAAAATCTTCTGATTCTAGGAAGGCATGAAAGTTATCAATTGAATAAAGTGATCTAAGCCTTGCTGATTAGAATTATTAATTGCATACAGGGGGAGAGTATAAAGAAAAATGTCTCAAAGTTTCTAATAAAACTGAAATGTCATTGTATAGCTCCCAATGCTAATCCATAAGTTGGATATTTCTTCTCTTATCCATTTAAAATAAGTAAGCTTTTGTTCACTCTGAGAATTGTATTTGGAAGCTATCTTAATATATCCATAAATAGGAGAATATATTGGTATTTCATATTTAAATAGGCCTACATTTCAATCTTTAGTTGCTGACTAAAAGAGCAGAAAAACTATCTCACATACTTGATTTTCTTATGTTTCTATATCTGCCAAAGTGCTATATATGCTACTAAAATCATTTTCACGGGAGCATCTATGAAAATAATAAATAGAACGAAAGCACAGAATTTGGTCTCTGTAAATTTGGTCTCTTTACAAGTTATAAAAACTTGTAAGACTTAAAAAAGTCTTATTTTGAAAGATACTCTAGGAACAAACTCATTCAGTATAAAGTAAGCAACTAATTAACAACTGAAAAACTACACCAAACTGCCTCTTCATGGGAGCAGGCTAAAATGGGCTGGTAATAACAGATTGAAAATTTTTTTCAATCTCAATTCAATAACAGAGCCAACTATAGAGAGAGATCACATAGATTTATATACTTAATCTCTTATGAAGACAGCACTTCACAAGTAATACACAACGATTCTTCAAGATATTCCCAAAGATAAATGGAAAGTCAAAGAAATGGTCTATATAAGTTCCCAAAGTAAACTGAAAAGAAACTCTAAAACTCACAATGTTTAATGACATAAAACTTAGCTTTAAGCAAGTAATAAGTTGATGAAAACCAAGCATGAAACATTAACTTCCTTCTTGATAAAATGTATTTACTAATTTTTTGTACTTTTTATCCCTACCATGTCACAAAAAATCTTCCAAGTCACATAGTTTTTAGCCATTCATTATCTAACCAGTAACCTAAGCATATCTATGATTTAATATGCCATCAAAATATATCTTGCTCAAATTGATATTTTAAAAAATAGCCAATAGCAAGCCTTAGAATAACCATATCCTCATGAAAACAAGAGCAATTAAAGAGCAAAACCAAAACACTGTACATGTAGTGTACATGTACCACAAAACTAGGTATTATCTAGTTATCTACAAGAACCCCAAAACATAAGTGGATGGGGACATGTCAGTGACATCTGTAAGACCTATTTCAACCTTAGTAAAAACAGAAGCAGAGAGAAACAACAAGGTATCTAATGGATCTAAGAGGAGAGAACACCAAAAGTTTCAATAGGCAGTCACTAGAAAACACAGAGAAACCATCTGACAACTGCAGCTGAAAACAGAAAAGGTTTTGCCCAATCCAAAAGCAAATGAGTAAAACAGGCCTATGTAAGGTCTAAAGAGATGGAACAGTCTAGCCTCTATCAATTCTTAAAACTGAAGTCAGGACAAGGCCCCAAATGAGGAGAAACTGCTGTGAAAAGAATATTATACAGAACAAGTACAACAGAGATAAAGGGGAAAAAGGAGAAGGGAACAAAACTAGGAAATCTTAGAAATCAAACCACCATATCTGTAAATATTATCTGAAAACAACAGAAAAGGAAGCTCTATGAAGTTGGAAATACTACCCCCCTAGCTATGCCTCCTTCTAAAAGTTAAACAATTTCACAAAAAAGAAACCACTAAGTTCAAATGCCATATATATAGCAATGGGGGGGGGGGGTGAGGGTGGGGACAACAATGAGCAGAATAGCATCACTACAAGGAAAGTAGGCTAGAAAAATATTTTAAAAACTAAAGGACATAGGTGCCAACCGAAAAAGCTCTCAATGGCCTAAACTACAAAACCTGGGAGTAACAAATTATGATACTATTGGATAATTCAAAAATAAAACAAAATCCATGAGTACATACTGATGTGAGTAGCAACTAAATAAATGAGAAGAGGTTATTTGCAGGATATAACACATCTTTTTAACAGAAGAATGCTAGTTAATAAAAGGAAAGGAGGGGAATAGAAAATCACCACCGTTAGAACACCTCAGAAATAATTGCTACAAGCAAGATTCATTGATAAATGATAAAATACAACAAACTATCTCCCCAAAATATTCACTGGTTACTGTGGTGGTTTTAAATTCTTTGAAGGGAAAGTCATTCAGTCATGTCCAACTCTTCGCAACCACATGGAATTCTCCAGGCCAGAATACTGGGGTGGGTGGCCTTTCCCTTCCCCAGGGGATCTTCACCAACCCAGGGATCGAACCCAGGTCTCCTGCATTGCAGGGAGATTCTTTACCAGCTGAGCCATAAGGGAAGCCCTTAAATTCTTTAACATTTACTATTAAGAAAGCTCAGACTACTCTGCTAGAGAGTCAATGGAAAGAGGCCTAAGACGACATGGAAAGCAAATGAAGCCCAACGAAGTCAAGTCTTCCAGCCATTGCCACCGGAGTGTCAAGCATGCAACAAGTCATCTCAGAGCCTGCAGAAGAGTCCATCCACCAAATGGAACCTCATGGAGCAGAATCATTCACAGAGCCCTGCTTGAGTTTCCTCACATTCATGACCTACAAAGGTATGAGATACAATGAAATGGTTTCTGTTTTAAGTCACAAAGTCTTGGGAGTTCGAGATAATTTGTTTCCTATTAGTAGATCATGAAGACAATCAGACATTATGTGCTTCCTGCTGAAAGAACAGATCACCACAAGGACAAAGGAACAAACCTGCATCTCATTAAGCCTCAGGATCCACGTGGCAATCTACAGGAAATACACATGAAAGTAAAGTGCATCCTAACTACGTAATAAACAAAATCAAGATTGTCCGGAAACTCAAGAGGTCAAATGACCCAGATTCCTCTACAGAACAGGGAGAGAAAGAAGATTAAAAGTCACTCAAAACATCTACCTTAATTCAACAAGTTATACATTGGCTTTGTGTGGTTTTCCTATATCTGTGTTTAAGAAACAAAACAGAACAAAACTCAGTACTGCTTATTAAATTAAACTAGTATGAAGTCTTTCTCTGTAGTGAAATCTGTCAACCCCACCAGGTTAGAACCCTTGTGGAAAAGTGCACTGATGGTGCAGTGTCATGTTGTGTTTTAATTTGAATGGCAGAAACTAGCAAAAAAAAATCAATCATATCATTCTTATTAATATTTATCTGTATTTCTGTATAAATCTTATCTGTATTTCTGACAAATACCCTTATCTCCTTAAAAATAGAGATCTCAAAAATGAAGGGCAGAACCAAAAGACAAAACAAAACAAAACAGCTATGGCCCTCTGCAGAACTGTTAACTTGGGTGTGCGGATGCAAAGATTTCTTTTTCAAGCACCACTGATGATGTTTGAATATTATTTAACATGTCCTTTGGAACTGTCTTTAAGAATAAATATGAATTTACAGCCCTAATATAAGGTATCCCCAAGATATACATTTAAAAAATGAAGATGCAGATGTTATCATAAAATCCTTTTTGTAAAAATTTAAATCACATTTTTTTGGAAAGCATAGTGAAGCTTCTTAATATATAGGAGTTAGTTTCATGCACCACATGCTCCCTAAACAATGTGAAACTATAACGTTCACAGCACTCATCAAGTATCTCAACATTGGTTTTACCATACTAGCTGGCTTTACACCAATTCTCCAGCCAAAAGTAAATAGAAAAAAATGAATTAAATATCAAAAGAACTAGTTTGAAGACATCAGAACTACCAAAACACCTAGAACATGAGCTACAGATTCCAGAGACAAGAAAGAGGAAAGTTCAGCTTAATATTTGGCTCTAACTCTCCCCTTAAGGCATTTATATATTTGAAATGGAAGACAAGAGGCTTAAGAAGCTGAAGAGTCTTAGGGAATCTCACAAGAATGGGGAGATAAAAAGTGGAATTCAGAGCTCACCAAGGAAGAGGACTGGGAAATAGTCTGGATTTTCAGTTGGGGACAGTACAGGAAACAGGAAATGTACCTCAAAAAGGCTAAAATTTCTCCAAGATAAACCAAATGTTAGGCCACAAAAATAGTCTTAATAAATGTAAAAAGGGAACTTCCTTGATGGTCCAGTGTTTAAGAATTCATCTGCCAATGCAGGGGATATAGGTTTGATCCCTGGTCTGGGAAGATTCCACATGCTGCCAGGCAACTAAGCCTGTGCACCACAACTACTGACTCTGCGCTCTAGAGCCAGCAAGCGGCAACGACTGAGCGCTCATGCCACAACGAAAGATGTGTATGATGCAACGAAGATCCCATGTGTGGCAACTAAGACGCACACAACCAAATAAATAAATAAAGCAAAATTAAATGAAACTGGAAATTAACAAAAGGAAAACTGGAGAATTCACAAATATGAAAAAACTAAGTATCAATTATTAAACTACCAATGGGTCAAAGAAGGGAAATTAAGAAGACAGCTTGACAAATGAAAATGGAAATACAACATACCAAAACTTACATCCAAGATGGAGTGAAAACAGTGCTAAAAGGGAAATTCATAGCTATGCATATACACTTAAATGAAAATAATATATCTCAAATCAACAACTTTATATCTTAAGAACTAAAAAATAAGGAAAAAGAAAAAACTAAGCCCAAAGTTAGAATAGGGAAAGAAATAATAAAGATTAGAACAAAGACAAATAAAATAGAACATAGAAAAACCATGATTTGATTCTTGAAAAAGATTAACAAAATTGACAAACCTTCGA